CTCAGTCCTGGTCTAAATCCTCATCCTGGTCCCGAACTCAGTCCTGGTCTGGTCCCGGTCTCAGTCCCGCTCTCAATCCTGGTCCTGGTCCTTGAGTCAGTCCTGATCCCGTTTCTATCTGGTCCCGGACCTGGTTTAGTCCTGGTTCAGTCCATATGTACTGCAGAAGTTTGGCATCCCAGTTTAATTCACGGAAACGGGAAACGGTCTTTATCTGTTTTTTTCCATTATTCATTTAAACACAAAATCGAAAACAGAAAATCGAATTGTTATCAGTTTTTTTCATTTTGGTTTTGGAGACAGATAATGAAGAAAACAGTTGTTTTTTCTTTTTCTTATTTTTGTTTTATATTGAAAACAAATGAACAAATGATACACAGATTTTGTAGCCCTATGTCTACATATATTCAATCTAAACCACAGCTCAACCAAAAAACAGAATTTAAAGGAGCATTGTGTAACTTTTCTGGTGGAGGGCCCATTAAATGCTTTTATCCAAGGCGATGTTACTGCTTTGTCTGGAATGTTTCACAGTAGCTTTCTATCTTCATGGAGACCAAACAAGACCAAGTTATAGGTCAGATCTTTGGAGAAGCAACCACCTGTAACTCAGTAAATGTAAGGTAGAGCTGTTTAATGTCATACTGTGGACCTTTCACCAGAAAAGTAACACAATGCACCTTTAAACTCCTCTGGTATTTTCTGATTTGGGGTTCCTTTTTTTAGCACAGACTCCCCTCTTCTATCTCAGATCGGTTGGGGGTCTTAGTGGCTCAGTGATGCAGTAGCAGTTTTGTCTTGACTCCCTGGGAAAGTCCTGGTTGAGTTCTGGGTTAGTCCTGGTCCAGTGCCCACTGGTCTTACCTCCTCAGGCTGAGAGGAAATGCACTTTTGTTTAGCGCAGTTTCAGCGTTACAGCTTCCTGCTCCACAGATCACAACTGTGCCCAGGGACCTAAAGAAAGAAGACTGAATAATTTAAAGGTCCTATATTACGCGAAACTGACTCCTGTGAGCTTTAAGTCATGTTATAATGTTGTTACCTTCTCAAAAACAGACCTGAAGTTGTGTTTTGTCTCATTTACACATGTTTGAGTAACTCTTGAGTAAGTCTATCTACATCTCCAAAGCTCCAAATGCTCTTTTCCACCTTGTGATGTCATGAAGCAATTTTCAAGTTAACAGCTACATTTTACCTTTAGTTCCGTAGAAATGAGGAATCCCAGGGTTGAAATTATCCAACTGATTTTAGTGGAAGTGTATGGAGTTTAAAAATCCCGTATTACCTGTTTGAGAGAAAAACTCAGGCTAAATCTGCAGGGTTTGTGTGTTAAACATGTGTGAATGAAACAAAACACAACTCCAGGTCTGTTTGTGATGATAAAACAACATTAGAATCAGCGTAACATGGGCCCTTTACGTCTTGTTGTACCTTTTTAGTTTTGTGCTGGTTTAGATTTTGGTTTCAGTAGGGCAGCAAAGTTGGTTCAAAAAATTAAATCAAAATCTCAGTTTCAATGGTTCCCAATAAAAATATAAAATAAAAATGCATTTATTTAAGTTGCATAGTCCATTGGGTGACAAAATAAATACCATGTTTTATCATGTATATATCTACTAACCCTATACTTCTATATAATTGTTTAGAGGTTTTAGTGAAGTGCTTCATTAGTCCAACCTGCATTGGTTTTCAATTTGATTTAGCCCTAGTTTAGACCTGCTTTAAACCTGGTTCATTTCATTTTTTTAGTCCTGGTTTGTCCTGGTTCAGTCCTGGTTCAGTTCATGTTTAGTCGAGGTTTAGCTCTAGTTCAGTCCTGGTGTAGTCCTGGTGTAGTCCTGGTGTAGTCCTGGTGTAGTCCTGGTGTAGTCCTGGTGTAGTCCTGGTGTAGTCCTGGTTCAGTCCTGATTCAGTCCGGGTTCAGTCCTGGTTCAGTCCTGGTTCAGTTCATGTTTAGTCGAGGTTTAGCTCTAGTTCAGTCCTGGTGTAGTCCTGGTGTAGTCCTGGTGTAGTCCTGGTGTAGTCCTGGTTCAGTCCTGGTGTAGTCCTGGTCAGTCCTGGTTCAGTCCTGATTCAGTCCTGATTCAGTGGTTCAGTCCTGGTTCAGTCCTGGTTCAGTCCTGGTTCAGTCCTGGTTCAGTCCTGTTCAGTTCATGTTTAGTCGAGTTTAGCTCTAGTCAGTCTGGTGTAGTCCTGGTGTAGTCCTGTCAGTCCTGGTTCAGTCCTGGTTCAGTCCTGGTTCAGTCCTGGTTCAGTCCTGGAGTAGTCAAGGTGTAATCTAAGTTTAGTCTTGGTTTAGTTCAGTTTTATTTCAGGTTTAATCTGTTCACATCTCTGACCTAGTTATTTTTCTAACCTAGTTCAGTTGCATTTTTTATCTTTTGTACTGTACCACTGAGATTTTATTTTTATTACACTTAATTCCACCGACTGAAGTAACTAAATTTTTTTTTATTTGTATCGAATAATCTCTCGAAATGTTGTTTCTTGGAGTTGTGTCCGGGGTCTGTGAGGCGGGTCAGATCTCAGGGGATCTCCCAGAATCACTTCCTGTTTTAATCAGCGCTAATTACCACAGGTCCAGTTACACGGCCCAGGCTGTGACCATTTCAACAGTCTTATACTTCAGATTATAGAAGAGAACGCTCACACATTTAAGATGCTATTTATTGAAAATGCATCTTTATAATTAATAAGGAATACTCAAAGTGGGTCAAATACTACACATGTTTTTGGTTATTTTGATATAGTTGTGACGTAATACAATGTTATGGACTGAAACTGCTTAATGTTTTGCCTTTAAATGAGATTTGGTTCTCAAAGGTTGACAAAACCAATGTTGTTTTGAAAATCGTCTATGATAAGAAATCTGTCAGTTATTTTGAACAGGATTATTATTTAGTCCCATTTTAGTAGTAGATTAGACCTGGTTTATATACGAGTCAGACTATAGAACAGGGACATGGTTAGGGTCGAGGAGGTTAGATTTAGACCTGATTTAGTTCTGGTTTAGACCTGGTTTAGACTCTTGTTTGGGACAGGATTAGACTTGGTTTAACCTTGGTTCAGACCTGTTCTACACTCTTCCTTGGGGCAGAATTAGTAGTGGTCTAGTTCTGATTTAGTCCTGGTTCAGACTGTTGCTTGGATTTGGTTCAGATCTGGTTCAGACCTGGTTTAGACTAGGTTCAGACATAATTCAGAACTAGTTTAGACTCTTGTTTGGACCTAGTTCAGTACTAGTTCAGTACTGGTTCAGACTTGGATCAGACCTGGTTTAGACTTGTTTGGACCTGGTTTAGTCCTGGTTTAGTCCTGGTTTAGTCCTAGTTTAGTCCTAGTTTAGTTCTGGTTCAGACCTTGTTCAGAACTGCTTTAGACTCTTGTTTAGTCCTGGTTCAGACCTGGTTTAGTCTCTTGTTTGGGGCAGGATTAGGGTCTGGAGGAGGGTCTGGAGGAGGAAGTGCTGATTACAGAGCTCTGGCCTGAACACTCCCAGATGTGAGACAAACACAGGTTTACAAACAGGACCCCCTCTGCAGCCCTGGGACCCTCTAACATGGACTCGGGCTAAACTCTGTCGAGTGACAAACCAGATGACCTCATGTTCATTATAATCTTTTGTATGATACAGTCAATACATGTGGTTGTGTTTGAGACCTGCTTTAGTCCTGATTTAAAGGTGCAACTTTTTGGTTGGGGGTCCGTCATCTGCTTGTTTCTTTGTCATTTATCTGCCTGGAATGTTCCACAATATGACATTAAACAACTCTGCCTTACATGTATTCAATTATAGATGGTTTTATAGCTCAAAAATACCTAGAAAAAGAGACATTCTGACAGTGAGCGGGGTCGCCTCTCCACAGAAGCTGGTCTGGTTTGGCTCCATGCTCCACACTGTGAAACATTCCATACAAAGCAATTAAATCTCCATGGAGAAAAACATTTGACGGCCCCCCCAATGCAATTTTGTTGTGACCGTGGGGGTGTTCTACATGTATGTGTAGGGCAGAATCAGTTACCATGGAGACACAATGCATACATTTGCATATGCAGCCAAAAAAGTATTTTAGATGGTTTGAAAACTCAAAATAAATAAATAGATTTAAACAGCACATTTTCAGGAGCTTGTGGATAATACGAACGTTCATGGTCCTGTTTAGGAGTTTGATTTTCAGCAAAAAGGTGAGAGTGACTAACTGAAAAAACTAGCTAGCTTGTGATTGTAATTTTATTTTTAATTTCGGGAGAGACACAAATAAACTTACCTATTATTACAGTTCAAGGTAAGTCTGTTCTTTCCGGTCAGACTGTGTTGGAACAAAGCTCAGATTAAAGTCTAACAAAACCCCAGACAGGGCAGAGCTCAGGGTTTGTGTGTTAAACGTGCGTGAATGAAAAAAAACACAACTCTAGGTCTGTTTGTGATAAGGAAACATTATAATTTAGATCAGAAAATGGCATAATATGGGCCTTTTAAAACAGCAAAGCATTTTTCATTTCATTCATTTCTATTCCTTAGTATGGAGTTTGAGTTTTTCGTATGGACATGACTCCTTCACGGCACGCTTCAGTCCGAGGCTCTGACCTGCCTTAGTGATAAATGATGGTTATTATCTGAAAACACCTGGAGGAAGGAAGCGGCACCGCCATTATTATTATGGGCCTGAGGCGGTGGGCGGGGCCTGTTGTTTAGGGGGCGGGGTTTGTGTGCAGAGGGGAGGGCCCAGAGAAAATGCTCAGGTTGAAAGCCAAAGCTGCAGACAGTAATCATTATAATGCAGGGAGATAGAAACCATGCAGTAATACAACAATAATAGGGCGTCACAGTCTGGAATGGCAAAGTGAAATTTCTGTCTGTTGTGTGAGCGTTTGGAATTTAGTTTTAGGTTTGGAGCTGAAGAAACAATTGACTATTTTTGGCAAAGATTAAAAGTGTATTGTATGTTCAGGAAATAAATACTGAAAAATCCAAATTGGTCTGTCTGGTTCTACGCATGATGACTCTGGAACGCCTCTCGCTGAAAGTGTTCAGAAAATGCGCCGTGTCATGATGAATATCGGAAGCTGATTCGTTGCAGCGTCACAACAGCGGAACAAGAAGAGAAATCAAACCAGTTGAGAGAAAAGCAAAGCTCTTCCCTGTCATTAAATGCTCAAAGCTCTTACCTTCTCCACGCTTTTCACAAACTAAATAGTCTGTGTTGTTGCTAAAATAGTCTGAAGTACGTCTGTTTTGTTTGTTTTGGTTCGTTTGGGCGCATCACCTTTGGCTTCCATACAAAACTCAATGCTGCGACGTGATTGGTCCACCTGCACGATTCTCTTTACAGCGGATGCACGCCAAGATGGATTCGCGTGAGTTTGTGAAATTAGAAATATTGCAAGAATCCAGTTTGCTGTGTAAGATTAACATCAGCCCGGCCTATTTCAGAGAGTTGTAGAGTTCACTATCTTTTTTTTTTTTTTGTATGAAGCATTGTTAAGCCCTTTTTAAGATGTTCACCTTGATTAGTGTGTTTTATTCTGACATGTTTATTTAAATTATATTATATTTGTATTACAGGTTTCGTCAGGCTTGGATGGCTCTCGGAAACTTCCTGTTACCTTCAAAACTGACAGTGAGTACAACTTTAGAATTTTATAAGCTCTCTGCCCAGACACTGACAGCACACACAAGAATATATGTTTAAAATCTTTCTAGAAAATACGATGTCTTTATCAAAATCATAATCATAAACTTGTACTTTTATACAGCTTGTGAATAGTACATGATGCGACATTAAACCAAGTTGTTTGAAAGTGTTAGGCTTAAAGTACAAAGGGTTCAGAGGGTCAAAGGTCATCTGTGAGTGACCCCGGACAAAAGGAACCAGGACAAAGGACTCAAAAATGAGGATCTAGGAAAGGAAACAAGGAGACAAAGAAGGAGGAAGGAACAGGTTTTGGATTTGTGCCATGAACCAAGAACCACTTAGACTGACATGAACCTGAACCGGGACTAAACCGGGACTAAACCGGGACTAAACCAGGACTAAACCAGGATTTAAAACCAGGACTTAAACCAGGACTTAAACCAGGGCTGCTCTGAATCAGGACCCAAATGTATGACTCTAAAAACACAGAGGAGCACTTCTGGGTGCTGACACAAGTACAACCCTACCAATGTTATTATTATCCTAATTTAGACCTGGTTCATTCCTGGTTCATTCATGGTTAAGTCTTGGTTTAGTCCTGGTTTAGCCCTGGTTTAACTCTGGTTTAGCTCTGATTTAGTCCTGGTTTAATCATGGTTTAATCATGGTTTAGTCCTGGTTTAGTCTTGGTTTAGTCTTGGTGTAGTCCTGGTTTAACTCTTGTTTAGCTCTGGTTTAGTCCTGGTTTAGCTCTGGTTTAGTCTTGGTTTAGTCTTGGTTTAGTCCTGGTTTAGTCCTGATTTAGTTCTGGTTTAGTCATGGTTTAGTCTTGGTTTAGTCCTGGTTTAGCTCTGGTTTGCTTTGGTTTAACTCTGGTTTAGTCTTGGTTTAGACGTGGTTTAGTCCTTGTTTAGTCTTGGTTTAGTCTTGGTGTAGTCCTGGTTTAACTCTTGTTTAGCTCTGGTTTAGTCTTGGTTTAGACCTGGTTTAGTCCTGGTTTAGTCCTGGTTTAGTCATGGTTTAGTCTTGGTTTAGTCCTGGTTTAGTCCTTGTTTAGCTCTGGTTTAGTCAAGGTTTAGTCTTGGTTTAGGCCTTGTTTAGCTCTGGTTTAGTCAAGGTTTAGTCTTGGTTTAGGCCTTGTTTAGCTCTGGCTTAGTCCTGGTTTAGCTCTGGTTTAGTCATGGTTTAGTCTTGGTTTAGTCCTGGTTTAGTCCTTGTTTAGCTCTGGTTTAGTCAAGGTTTAGTCTTGGTTTAGTCCTTGTTTAGCTCTGGTTTAGTCTTGGTTTAGTCCTGGTTTAGTCCTTGTTTAGCTCTGGTTTAGTCATGGTTTAGTCTTGGTTTAGTCCTGGTTTAGCTCTGGTTTGCTCTGGTTTAACTCTAGTTTAGTCTTGGTTTAGACGTGGTTTAGTCTTGGTTTAGTCCTTGTTTAGCTCTGGCTTAGTCCTGGTTTAGCTCTGGTTTAGTCTTGGTTTAGTCCTGGTTTAGCTCTGGTTTGCTTTGGTTTAACTCTGGTTTAGTCTTGGTTTAGACGTGGTTTAGTCCTGGTTTAGCTCTGGTTTAGTCCTGGTTTAGTCTTGGTTTAGCTCTTGTTTAGTCCTGGTTTAGCTCTGGTTTGCTCTGGTTTAGACCTGGTTTAGACCTGGTTTAACTCTGGTTTAGTCTTGGTTTAGACGTGGTTTAGTCCTGGTTTAGTCTTGGTTTAGCTCTTGTTTAGTCCTGGTTTAGCTCTGGTTTAGGATTTCAGATCCAAGTGAGCGCTCCTGTGCCTCTGTAAAGATCGTCCACGGTTCAGTGCTCAGATTTACATATTTTATAAAAACATTCAAATTGTAAAAAACAATATATATAAATCATAATTCATATGTGAAATTCAAAATAATGAATCAACAAATTGTAAAAAAAAAAGTCATATATAATTGTATTCATTTATGTAAATCTGAGCACTGAGCCATAACTTTACAGAGGCACAGGAGCGCTCACTCGTATCTGACATCCTCCCCCCACATGCCACGCCTTCCACCATGTTTTTAACCCGGGACTTAACCAGGACTAAACCAGGACTTTTAAATTAATATATGACAATGGTTAGTTTCATTGAACCGTAACTCGTCTTTACAAGAGCACTCACTCATGTCCAGATACCTCCCTCTGCGCAGCGAGACGTAACTGAACCAGGACTGAACCAGGACTGAACCAGGACTGAACCAGGACTGAACCAGGACTGAACCAGGACTGAACCAGGACTGAACCAGGACTGAACCAGGACTAAACAACAACTAAACCGTGACTGAACCAGGACTAAACCAGGATTAAATCAGGACTGGACCAAAACTGAACTAGGACTAAGCAAGGACTAAACCATGACTAAACCATGACTGATTCAGGACTAAAACAGGACTGGACTGAGACTGAACTAGGACTAAACTGGGACTAAACCAGGACTAAATCAATACACCTTTGAAAGTGCAACTTTTCTGGTGGAGGGTCCGTCACTTGCTTCTCTCCATGGTGATATTGCCTATTGACTGTTCCACAGTATGGCATTACACCAATTTATCTATTTGTAGACAGCAGGCTCTATAACAGGGCCAGGCCAGGTCAGATCTGCGGAGAGGCGAGCCCACTCACAGTAAGAATGCAGGTTTTTTAAAACTCATAATTATTATTATTTTTATTATTATTATTATTATTGAGTAAATGCGAGATGGATATGTTTAATGCCATCCCGGAACATTCCAGACAAAACAATAACATCTCCATGGAGACAAGCAGGTGGCGGACCCTCCAACAGAAAAGTTATATGTGCACCTTTTTAAATTTCAGTTTTTGTACAAAATTTTACTTTCATACAACACCTAACTTCCCCAGCCCCTATCCCTCTCCTCTCGCTCCCTTTCTCTCTCCCTCCTTCTTTCCCTCTGCCCCCCCTTTCCTTTCTCCCTCTCTCTCTATCCCCTCTTTCTCTCTCCTCTCTCCCTCTTTTTCTGTCTTTCTCTCTCTCTCTCCCTCCCTCTCCTTTTCTCTCTCTCCCTTTTTCTCTCTCCCCCTTTGCTCTCTCTTCATCCCTCCCTCCCTCTCTCTCATCTCTCTCTCTCTCTCTCTTCTCTCTCCCTCCCACCCTCTCTTCCATCTTCTTCTCTCTCTCCTTCCCTTTCTCTTCTCTCTCTCTTTCCCACCCTCTCTCTCTACTTCTCTCTCCTTCGCTCTCCCTCCCTCTCTCCTTCCCTCTCTCTTCCCCATCTTCTCTGTCTCTCTCTTTCCTTGCTCTCCCTCCCGCCAACTATCCAACTCTCCTTCCCTCTCTCTTCCCCTCTCTCTCTCCCTCTCTCCTTCACTCTCCCTCTCGCCTTCTCTCCCACTCTCTTTTTCCTCTCTCTTTTCTCTTTCCCACCCTCTCGCTCCCCCTTCTCTCTCCTTCTCCCTCACTCTCTCCTTCCCTCTCTCTTCCCCTCTTTCCTTCGCTCTCTCTCCCACTCTCCTTCTCTTTCTCTCCCACTCTTTCTCTTTCTCCTTCCCTCTCTCTTCCCTCTTTCCTTCTCTCTTCCCCTCTTTCCTTCTCTCTCTCTCCCCTCTCCTTCTCTCTCTCTCCCACTCTCCTTCTCTTTCTCTCCCACTCTCCTTCTCTTTCTCCTTCCCTCTCTCTTCCTCTCCTTCACTCTCTCTCTCTTGCTCTCTCTTTCCTTCGCTCTCCCTCCCACCAACTATCCCACTCTCCTTCTCTTTCTCCTTCCCTCTCCCTCTCACCCTCTCTCCCACTCTCTTTTCTCTCTTTCCCACCCTCCCTGCTCCCCCTTCTCTCTCCTTCTCCGTCAATCTCTCCTTCCCTCGCTCTTCCCCACCTTCTCTCTCTCTCTCTCTTTCCTTCGCTCTCCCTCCCGCCAACTATCCCACTCTCCTTCTCTTTCTCCTTCCCCCTCTCTTCCCCGCTCTCTCTCCCTCTCTCCTTCACTCTCCCTCTCGCCCTCTCTCCCACTCTCTGTCTCTCTCTTTTCTCTCTTTCCCACCCTCTGTCTCCCTCCCTCCCACTCTCTTACTCTCTCTCCCCCCTCTCCTTCCCTCTCTTCTCACCTCTCTCTCCCCCTCCCTCTCTCTCTCTCTCTCTCTCCAAACCCAGACGGCGGACTTCCCTTTCCCTTTCTCCGTGCCCTCTTTGTCGACTCTTGACCTTCTGTTTAACATGAACCTGACCCGTCTTTACAAACGCACAGGAGCGCTCACTCGTGTCCTGGCCCCGCCCCCAAACCACTCACATGTGTCTTAGCCCCGCCCCCGTTCCTCCGCTCCAATAAACCACGATCCTTTATTGTTTCCATTCAACACCGGCTTTTCTCAACCCCAAAAAGTTCGATCTTATTGTTCACATATTGTTGGTGTTTTCGGTAGCGGCTCAAACAAAAGATGAAATTTTAAATAATGCGAAATCGGCGGAGGGGAAAAAGCATTGTCCAAAGTCAAACCAGCGGGAACGGGAAGGAAGGATGTCGCGCACCAGTGAACCGTGCAGGAAAACTGAAAGTGAATCTGTCAACCACATCCAAGATTAAATCAAACACAAATTTCATACAAAGAAATATTCATAAATTATTTAAAGGTGCACCGTGTAACTTTTTGGTCGGGGGTCCGTCACCTGCTTGTTACTATGGAGATGTCTGGAATGTTCCACAATATGACATTAAACAGCTCTACTTTACATTTATTCAATTACAGGCGGTTTTATTGCTTTAAAATACCGAGAAAAACAAGCATTCTGACTGTGAGCAGGGTTGCCTCTCCACAGATCTGACCTGTAACTTGGTGCAGTTTGGTCTCCATGATGATAGAAAAGTTTAATGCCATACTGTGAAACATCCCAGACAAAGCAATAACATCTCCACGGAGAAAAAACATTTGACGGAGCCTCTACCAGAAATGTTCTAATGTTTTGTTTTTAATTGTTAATGGCTTTGGCAACCGTCCCAATTTCTTTCTAAATTCTACAACCTATTGATGTTGATACTTTGCAGCTGATGTCATCAACATTCCCGGGGGGGGTGTGGCGCTAACTGTAGACACTGCTCTGTCTGAGGCTTTGTTAGACTTTAATCTGAGCTTTATTTAACACAATCTGGCCAGAAAGAAGTGACTTAGTATAAATCAGCTCACCTGTTGTAGTTCCAGCTGTTAGACAAGTCCCTCTCAAATAACATTACAGTCACAAGCGGGAACGTGCCTATGTTCCCTCATGACTTACGTTCCTTTATGACTTACGTTCCTTCATGACTTACGTTCCCTCAAACTTATGTTCCCTCGTGACTTACGTTCCCTCGTGGCTTACGTTCCCTCAGACTTACGTTCCTTCAGACTTACGTTCCCTCAAACTTATGTTCCCTCGTGACTTACTTTCCCTCGTGGCTTACGTTCCCTCAGACTTACGTTCACTTATGACTTACGTTCCCTCATGACTTACGTTCCCTCATGACTTAGGTTCTCTCAGACTTACATTCCGTCAGACTTACGTTCCCTCATGACTTAAGTTCCTTCATGACTTGCGTTCCCTCGACTTACGTTCCCTCGTGACTTACGTTCCCTCGTGACCTACGTTCCCTCAGACTTACTCTTATCAGACTTACGTTCCCTCAGACTTACGTTCCCTCAGACTTATTCCCTCAGACGTTCCCTCAGACTTACGTTCCCTCAGACTTACGTTCCCTCAGACTTACGTTTCAGACTTCGTTCCCTCAGACTTACGTTCCCTCATGACTTACGTTCCCTCGTGACTTACGTTCCCTCAGACTTACGTTCCCTCGTGACTTACGTTCCCTCGTGACTTACGTTCCCTCAGACTTACGTTCCCTCAGACTTACGTTCCCTCAGACTTACGTTCCCTCAGACTTACGTTCCGTCAGACTTACGTTCCCTCGTGACTTACGTTCCCTCGTGACTTACGTTCCCTCGTGACTTACGTTCCCTCGTGACTTACGTTCCCTCAGACTTACGTTCCCTCAGACTTACGTTCCCTCGTGACTTACGTTCCCTCAGACTTACGTTCCCTCGTGACTTACGTTCCCTCGTGACTTACGTTCCCTCGTGACTTACGTTCCCTCGTGACTTACGTTCCCTCGTGACTTACGTTCCCTCAGACTTACGTTCCCTCAGACTTACGTTCCCTCGTGACTTACGTTCCCTCGTGACTTACGTTCCTTCGTGACTTACGTTCCCTCAGACTTACGTTCCCTCAGACTTACGTTCCCTCAGACTTACGTTCCCTCAGACTTACGTTCCCTCAGACTTACGTTCCCGTCAGACTTACGTTCCCTCATGACTTAGGTTCCCTCAGACTTACGACTTACGTTCCCTCAGACTTACGTTCCCTCGTGACTTACGTTCCCTCAGACTTACGTTCCCTCGTGACTTACGTTCCCTCGTGACTTACGTTCCCTCGTGACTTACGTTCCCTCAGACTTACGTTCCCTCGTGACTTACTTTACGTTCCCTTCGTCAGACTTACGTTCCCTCGTGACTTACGTTCCCTCAGACTTACGTTCCCTCAGACTTACGTTCGTTCCCTCAGACTTACGTTCCCTCGTGACTTACGTTCCCTCGTGACTTACGTTCCCTCGTGACTTACGTTCCCTCGTGACTTACGTTCCCTCAGACTTACGTTCCCTCGTGACTTACGTTCCCTCAGACTTACGTTCCCTCGTGACTTACGTTCCCTCAGACTTACGTTCCCTCGTGACTTACGTTCCCTCGTGACTTACGTTCCCTCATGACTTACGTTCCCTCGTGACTTACGTTCCCTCATGACTTACGTTCCCTCAGACTTACGTTCCCTCAGACTTACGTTGACTTACGTTCCCTCAGACTTACGTTCCCTCAGACTTACGTTCCCTCAGACTTACGTTCCCTCATGACTTACGACTTACGTTCCCTCATGACTTACTACTTACGTTTGACTTACGTTCCCTCAGACTTACGTTCCCTCGTGACTTACGTTCCCTCAGACTTACGTTCCCTCAGACTTACGTTCCCTCAGACTTACGTTCCCTCAGACTTACGTTCCCTCAGACTTACGTTCCCTCAGACTTACGTTCCCTCAGACTTACGTTCCCTCGTGACTTACGTTCCCTCAGACTTACGTTCCCTCGTGACTTACGTTCCCTCGTGACTTACGTTCCCTCGTGACTTACGTTCCCTCAGACTTACGTTCCCTCGTGACTTACGTTCCCTCCTCGTCAGACTTACGTTCCCTCGTGACTTACGTTCCCTCGTGACTTATGTTCCCTCAGACTTACGTTCCCTCGTGACTTACGTTCCCTCATTCTGAGTTTTTTTTTTTTTTTCAAAAAGTAGACCCCATGTTCCCACATTTACTTTTTCATCGATTTGCATCAGATTTTCTTTCAGGTCGCTTTGTCACCTACGTCATGTAGGTCTGCAATATACAGTTCTGTCACATGAGAGAGATAGTGAATATTTTGTTCCAATATTACGGGTTCAATTGAATTTTATTTTATTTATTCAATATTTTACCAGGTAAGTCAGTTGAGAACACTTTCTCATTTACAGTGACGACGTGAATGTTGAAAAGAAAAAGAAATGGGCTACATTTAATGTACAAATAGACTTCTTCTTTTTTCATTGTTTAAAACTTGAGCAATACTAATTGTTCAGAGAGACACAATCACGCAGTCAACAATAAAATATCCTCATTAATGTTCAGTAATGGTCAAATCCACCTTTATTTTGTGATTTATGTATATATTTATTGACTTGGTTCACAAAGTTTTCTGACTTTTAACGTGTGGGTCCCCAGAAAAAAAAGTTTGGGAAACATTGATGTAGAGGTCATGGTGCAAAGGATCTAAACTGAAATTACTCTGAAGCATCTCTTTAAATGAGCCAACAGTTTTTCATGTGTGTGTGTGTGTGTGTGTATATATTATATGTGTGTGTATATATATATAATATATATATATATATATTTTTTTTTTTTTTTGGGCTGTAGTAATTTGTGCTGAACATTCTGCCATAGACATGCATGTCTACACTTTTTTACTGTACTGTAACAGGCGCTCATGAAAAAGAGTCCGGTACTCTCATTTGGTTCTTTCCATATAAATAAAGATACATAAATAAAATAAAGGACTGCTTTTTATAACTTTAGGAGATGTACCTCACCTGTCTGTAACTCTTTGTAACACACTCGCACGAGGACTGTTTACCACTGTAAGTATTATTTGTCACTGATGGTGTGTTATGTTGCAGACTGTTCCCTGTCGTATCCGGTGGGTAAATATGTGATTCATGAGGTGATGGACATCTCCTTCTCTCATCTCTCGTGTGAAGATCAGGCTGCAGTCGTCGTCCACTGGAATGCAAGCCCCCTCGGTGAGACACAGTTTAAAGAAAAAAATAACTTTTTTTCTAGATTTAGACTTATGAGTAGCAGTAGAGCAGTAGTAGAGAGAGTAGTATAGAGGAGTAGTAGATTTAGACTTTCGAGATTAGGGCTGCACAATTTTGGAAAACGTGTAATTGTGATTTTTCTGATGAGCATTGTGATTGTGGTTTTATGTCGATTTATGTTTTAATAATAGGATTCTGTTCAGACAAAGTTCACATTTTAAACACCTCCAAAAGAGTCAACAACAAAAAAACTAAAATAAGCCTGTGAACTGACTAATTAATACATGAATCAAATGTATTTCAGAAAATGTTTGTACAGATCTAAACTACAGGTTTAGCTGTTTTTACCCCGAATAAAACAGGATTTTTTGTTGTCTGCAGAGTAAATTGTGGTATTTAATAATTGCAGCCTTTGCGATTTGCCAGTTTCGTCCATTTAAACGGTGATTTTAATTCTATTGTGATTAATCTTGCCGGCCTAATTTAGTCCAGATTTAGTCTTGGTTTAGTTCTGTTTTCCAGCCTGTGCACAAACAGATCCAGTGTCCTGTTTCAAAAGCAGGAGTGGTCTTTGAAATCCCGGTCTCTGTAACTTTAGCTGTTTGTGATGGATCACTGTCCTCATTTAGGACGGTTTCATTTAGTTTATACTTCATTAAAGTAACACCAAGGAGGGAAATTTAAAACGATATTCATTCTCCATGGAGAAATATTTTATCCTGTACTGTGGAATATTATGGCTAAAGAAACAACATTTCTGTGGAAACGAGCGGAGGCTCCTCCAAGCCAAATAAGAGGCAGGTTTGTGGAGATGCAAGCCCGCTCACACTGAGGACTTATGTGCAATGAAGATGCTTTTATTATTTATCTATCTATTTTGTGGCTTTTTTGTCAAGGAAGTCCAGTGGTGGTCTTTAAATACATAAGGGTTGATCACTATTTTATTTGTTAATTCTAAATTGCATTATTGATCTAAAACAACATAGCAATAGAAGCAAAAGTCCAGTGACTTCCTGTTTTTGAATGGTATGGTTATGAGAATAATTCATACAAGAAAATAAGTTTTGTGGCCAAAATAATCGTGGGTCTTTTTCATTGTTGCTTTTTTATTGAAAAACAAAACAAAACTACATAACTTTTTCCAGACAATTAAATCTGTAGGCCTGTGTAATATGAATTAACCAAATCAAAATGGCAGTTCCACAATGATACACACTGGAGCACTTAAACTGGCACCACACCAGACCTTTTAGAGACTTCTCCTTAGAGAAGTCCTGGACCAGATCCTGGACCAGATCCTGGCTGTGGTCCAGATCCAGACTGAACCTGTTTGAGTCGTAAACATGAAAAACACACAGAGGAATCTGCCCCAGGACCCAAAACCTGCTCCACCGCTTCACTGTATATAATCACTGCAAGATGAGCCCAAGCACAGAGACTAAACAGGACTATAACTAGACTCCTGGCTGGGTTTAGAACTACTTTATATCTGGTTTAGACCTGATTTAGGCCTGGTTCAGTCCAATTTTGAACCCAGATTTGAGCAGAGTTGGCCCTTAATCTTACACTACGTTATAAGTCCATATAATAACTGGACATGGATAAGACAAGGGAGAAAGTACTGGTTTAGTTCTGGTTTTGTCTTGATTTAGTCTTTGTTTAGTCTTGGTTTATTCTTGGTTTAGTCTAGGAGTAAAGACCACCTCCTTGTCTCTGTGGAGATGTTATCACTTTGCCTAAAATGTTCCACAGTTTGGCATTAGACCTATCTACTACTATTACAGGTGTCTTATTACAAATAGAATAAAATAAATATTACCCTCTAGAAATTGGATCTGTACTTGGCTTGGTGATATTACCTGCTAATGCCGTGAAGTGGAACTTTTAGGGCAAAGCAATAACCTCTACGCATAGACAAGAAGGTGGCAAACAGTTTGCCAGAAAAGTTACACAGTGCATCTTTAACTATAGTGCTACTGTGATCCATTAATATTTGTCAATGTCATTAAATGTATTGTGTTTATGTCTTTTTTTTTTTTCCAGGTATTGAACATGTGAAAGGGTTCAGGGTTTATCTGGAAGACAAGAATCCAGAGAGAAAACAGTGTCAACACCTGATCCTCAAAGAGCCACGCCAACTCAACTACACCTACAAGACCACGGTACGGTTCAGTTACCGTCATTATTGATACTTTGCAACTGATGTCGTCCACATTCCCTGGGGGTGTGATGCTAACTGTATGCACTGCTCTGTCTGAGACTTCGTTAGACTTTAATCTGAGCTTTACCTTAGGGTCCGGTCAAGTTGCAACGGAGGGAAACAGGGGCAGATTTTTTGACATTCAAATGTCTCTTATTCAGAAACTAGAGGGACTATTGAAATAAGTAAAGTATTAGAATGCAGGAAAAGAGTTAACACTCCAACAGGGTAAAGTTAAACCTGTGATATTCTTTCAAGTTGTTGACAAAAAATTTTAAAACTCATGTCGGTAACGGAGGGAATGAAATATGCAGCACTTTTTGGGCAATAAATACAAACAGTGATAACTCTTGGTTCTCACTTACATATCCTTAACAAACTGGTTTGAATATTTGCTTCATATAGTTTTCTACCATATGGTACAAGATTAGGTTGAAAAACCTCTTAGTTTTTGAGTAATGAGATTTTTTATTAAGAAAGGTCATGGTAACAGAGGGAAAAGTAACGGAGGGAAAATTGTGCAAACAAGTAGAAGGTGCATGATTTTACATAATTTGTCAACTTTTTTCTTCCGAATACTTTAATATTACTTCAAAATGACAGGTAAATATTTCTATAAAATATGTCAGTCCTTCCAAGCAAATTTTTATCATTTTAAATACATTAAAAAAAAAAAAAATCATGCACCTTCATCAACAGTTCAAGGATCGAATAACACAAGATATGATGAAACACATCCATTTATTGACATGATTTGCAGATCTTTGAAATTTGGGAAATAATTTTTGTTCCATGTTTCATACATGGTCTGTTTAAAACGTATGGAACTTTAGAACCAAAAATGGTACAGAAAAAAGGTAAACAGTTTCATAAACTAGAGTACATATGTATCTGTTGAATACATTTTTATATCAGATGCATTAACTTGAATTTTTGGCCTTGCTGTTTACTTCTGCTTGACCAGGCCCCTTAACACAATCTGACCAGAAAGAACTGGTTTAGTTAAAACTACAGCAGGTGAGCTGATTTACGCTGTTAAACAAGTCTTTCACAAATGTGTTGTTTAAATCAGTTTTTTTTTTTTTTAAAGAGATCTTAAAACTTTTTTGACAGTTTACTTATGTGTGCATTGTTTCACCATAGTAACTGCTGAGCATTCCACCATAGAGATGCAAGTAAAACACCCCCAGCGAGATGTCACTGCAAAGTATCAATCAAGAAACGGGTCTATAGCTGGACTCATTGAGCCTCGTCAAATATACTAGTAGTAGAGGACACCATTGCACCATTTTCATTTAAAAGTGTAATATGAACTTTTTATGTCCCACAGTATGGCATTAAACATATCTATATATCATGTAAATAATTATTTTTATTATTTTAATGCTCCAGAATACTTTAGAAAACATACTGTGATCAGCCGTCTCTCTCCACAAATCAGATCTATCATATATAATTTGACCTGGCAGCTTCACCTACCTACTTAGCTCAAAGATGATCCCCTCCTCCATTTAATGCCCTCCTGTGGAACATTCTAGGCACATGAAAAGCGCCTCCATAGGGGCCTGCAGGTGATGGCCCCTTCACCATAAAAGTTACACATTGCATCTTTAAATATGTAAAATCCTCTCTTTTGAAGTGCTGCTGTGAGTCTTGTCATTTTGATTTTAAAATGTTCGTGTTAACCCGCTCTTCATTGATTGATTGATTATTTATTTCAATCACAGGTATATTTTGACATTAATTCACAGACAGTCATATTTAACATACACAGACTGAAAAGGTGTAGGCTGAAGCTTAAGCTTATTATTATTATTCAATTCTTTTTATTGACTTTTATTAATGTTGGAACATACATAAACATAACACAAAAACAACAACAAGACAGCAGGCAATTCCAAAAGAAAGAAACATAATAATAATAATAATAATAATAATAATAATAATAAATAATAATAAATAAATAAATAATAAAAATAAAATAAAAATAAATAATAATAAATAAATAATAATAAATAAAAATAAATAAACAAATAAATAAAGCTTAAGCTTATTATGCCTACTCTTTATTCCTTTGTCAGAGCATCATCTTAACACCAGTTCATCTTCATAAATACAGCAAGAGGACACAAACAAATCAAAAACAGTCCACAAACTAAGTATCATATTTCATGTATCTGTCCAGGGTTAAACAACAAAACAAACAACAACAACTTCTTTATAAAATGAAAGAGACTGGTGCACAATTTTAGGTTTTCTGTACAGTTGTTCCAGAGCTCCACCCCTTTAACAGATTTACAAAATTTCACAATGTTTGTTCTAATTTTCTTTTTGATAAACATGGCTGTGCCTCTGAGCTCATATTGGCTCTTTCGAATTTTGAACATGTTCTGTAAAGATTTTGACAGGAGATTGTCGTTTACTTTGAACATGATTTTCAGAGTATAAAGGTCGACTAAATCATAAAATTTCAGAGTTTGAAGGTTTATAAATAACACATTGGTTGATTCGTTATAAGTTGATAATGTGATTGCTCATGATCCTAGGGTTTAAAATTTGCTTTTTTGTCCGCAAATAATTTCCTATTTCTATTATGGACCTGGCTCCAAATTCACCCTTATAACCTTTAACAGTCCACGTCTTTATACAGTCTATGGTTGTGCCTTTGAGCAAGACCCTGACCCTTGTTGTGTAGAAACAGATTGGCAGCCACAGAGAGCACTTATACGCAAAGGGTAATATTTTCTGTGTTTGTTTTCCAGAAGTTGAGCAGTCAGCCGTTCACAGGTCTCTCCTTCGACACAGACTACATGATCCGAGTCGTGCCTTTCCCCTCTCTCATGAACGAGAGCTTCTTCCCTCCATCGTTCCTAAGAACCAACTGTGAGTCTCAACCAGAAATATGCAAATGTTAGACTGCGAATTCGAGCTGCAGGATGAATTGAAATCGAATCAAAATCGCAATTGGCAAATCATCGTTCGTGAAGTACCATAATTTCCTCTAAAAACAAAATCTCCTGTATTCTGCATAAAAACTGCTGACCCTATAGTTTATATTTAGCAAAAATCTGATATTTTTTTTTCCAAATTGTGCAGCCTTTCAGTTAATCTTGTGGAAATTTCTATTGTCCTTTGTATTACTTGATATTAAAGCAGTATTGTCTTGTATTTTCAGCCTGTGAGGTGCTGCTGGGAGCTGAGAGCCTCGTGTGTAAACCTTGTGAGTTTAAAGGGCCCATATTACCACTGTTTTCTGATCTATATTATAATGTTGGAGATTTGTTTTGTTTCATTCACACATGTTTAACATACTGATTCTCGAACTGAAAACTCTGTTCCACTTTGTGAGGTCTTGTGGCAGTACAGGAAGTGCTCCACTGGATTTTTAAACTCCGTCTACCGTCACTAGAATCATTGAGGATGATTTCAGCCCTTGAATTGCTAATCTCTACTGAACTAATAGTAAAAGGAGCTGTTAAAGTGAAAACTACTGCTTCATGACATCACAAGGTGGAACAGAGCATTTTGAGCTTTGGAAATGTAGACAGAATGATAGGGATTACTCAAACAGAAAAGACCTCCAGGTAACAATATTATAACTCTCTATATTTTTCTCTCCTCAGTTTGGAAGCCCAAGTCTTTAAACGTGTCTCAGTTTGGCTCTAACCTCCATGTGACCTTTGACCCTGCCCCCTCGACCTTTCACCTCAGCGTGTACTACCTTTACTACAAACTCAGACAGGACGGACCCTTCAAGACGCAGCGCTGCAAACCCGTAAGAGCGTTATGGCTGTTTCATCATTACTTTTTAAAGCTTTTCTGCTTGTCTCCATGGAGATGTTATTGCTTTGCCTATAATGTTCCGCAATATTAACCACCTTGTACACAGCAAAAAGTGGAGTGTTAAAATTAACTCTCACAGAATCAATGTTAACATTTTCTCAGAGTTTATATGAGTCCAATCTGTTCTAGAGTTAATTTAACATTTTTGGAAATGTTAATTAACACTGGACCAAAGTTCCAGTTTAACCCCGAAATCCAGAGTTATATTAACGTTTTGAGAGTAAACGGATAACACTTTGTACAGTTATCCTGATTTAGCTAAACAACACACAGAGGTGTTTTATTTTATTTTTTACTTTATTTTAGTTCATTTAAGATGAAATTATGTATAAAACTGGTTCAAACTGGTCTTCTCTCAAAAGTGGTGAATGGGAGGAGCCAAATTATCACTAGTGGAAGTTGAATTAACCTCAACCACATCAACTCTGGCAAATAACCCCAACTCAAACCCCCATTTCATTTTCAAATAGTTAAAATAACACTGTTGGTGTTAAAAACAACTCTGAAATATTTTACCCTAAAATTTTAACCCTCCAGTTTTTGCTGTGTATTAATTCAATTACAGATGTTTTTATTGTTGCAAAATGCACCTTGAAAAACATGCATTCTTACTGTGAGAATGGAAATTGGCATGACCTGTTTATCCCCATGGAAATAGATAGTTTAAAGCCATATTGTGGAATATTCCAGGCAAAGCAGTAACATTTCTGTAGAGGCAAGCAGGTTGCAGGCCATCAACCAGAAAAGTTACGCAGTGCACCTTTACGTCACAAACCTCACTGAATCACGTAAATAAATGTTGTTGTCAGGATCTGAACCAGCCCAGAACCACGTGCACCCTCTATGACGTCACTCCAGGAACCTACAGCATCGAGGTACAGCTTAATGTGCTATTGATATTAATTATTATTTATTTATTAGAATTTTAAGCAGTTAAAACTACTATTAAAGAAGTGTACTTTGTTGTTGTTTTGAGGGTAGAAATTATGCATATTTTTTTCTGCACAATCTGGTGGTATTTTGCCAGTTAGCTTTGAGGGCAATTATCACAATTATATAAAATATGCGACACTCTACAAACTGACCTGGGTTTAAAATAATATGCAGTTAATTATTGTTTCTGGTTTTATTTTTTTCAGCTCAGAGACAACAGCAATGCGACCAGGAGGCAGACACAGTTCCACGTCAGTCAAGGTAACTGTAAATGTAGTACTTATGAGACTAGACCATTTTAGACATTAAGTCTAATCTATTTGACAAACACTAAAATAAATAAATATGCCCCAAACCAGCTTTTACTGATTTTACTGATACTGATTTCGATTCTATAGCTTTAAGTATTTGTCAATACCGATATATAAACTGACTCCAGTGAAGAGACTAAAAAAAAAATAGCCCTAACCCAAAAATAAAATAAGACAAACTGATCCAAACGTGTTATGTAGCTGTTATTTATCCCTCAAGTAATGAAAGAATGAAAGAACAAGAAGGTTCAAGCTTTATGAGACTTTCAGGGCTGACTATGACCAGTTTATGTCCAACCAGGAAGTCCGTATCAGATAACAGTATCTGTGCCTCCCTATCTAAAACACATGCCAAAAGACTTTTTTCAAATTTTTTTACAAACACTGCTACAGTATTACATAAATCTAAATGTAAAATATTAAATTTTTTTATCAGTAATATACTTTCTTAGTAAAATGTGTCCAATAAGTAAGTTAACTAAATATTTATGTGTTCTGTGTACAACCAGAGCCCAGTTTAATCACACATACCACAGTTTGAAAAACACTGCGGTGATATCTGTGATAATGTTGACGTGTGTGTGTTGTGTTTCAGTCCATTCTCCGTGGGCCGGTCCGATCAGAGCCATGGCCATCACAGTCCCTCTGGTGATCCTCTCAGCCTTTGCCACCCTCTTCACCGTCATGTGCCGCAAGAAACAGCAAGGTCTCAGACTAATCTCTATATTATGCAAAATTGCCTGTTGTGGATTTTAAGCCATGTTAGAATGATGTTGCCTCCTCAAAAGCATACCCAGAATTGTATTTTCTTTCATTCACATGTAGATCAAAATGGTCTTTACCACCTTGTGATGTCATATAGTGGTAGTTTTCAAGTTAACAGCTACTTTTTAAGTTTAGTTCAGCAGAGATTGGCAATTCCAAGGCTGAAATTGTCCAAATGTTTCTACTGAAGGTGCAAGGAGTGTAAAAACACCGTGGAGCTCTTCCTGTATTGCCATATGACATCACAAAGTGGAACAGAGGGTTTTCAGTTGGAGAGAGGAACTAAGCCTAAATATGCAGGGTTTGTGTGTTAAACATGTGTGAATGAAACAAAACACAATTCCAAGTATGTTTGTGATGAGGAAACAACATTATAACCCCTCTGCTGGCATCCTTTGCTGTGTGTGTTGAGAAGGAGTAACTTTTATTTGTTTTCTATACACAATAATTACTTGTAAAATGAAAAATAATAAAAAAAAATCCTTAACTGTGCATAACATGTCTCTAAATGATCCCCTTGTATCTTCCCTACAGAGAACATCTATAGTCACCTGGACGAGGAGAGCAGTGAATCGTCCAATCAGAGTGCGGCGTTGATCTCGGAGCGCCCTTGGCCCCGCCCCAAAGTGTTCCTGTGCTATTCAAACAGGGACTGCCCCAAACACAACAGCGTGGTGCAAGCCTTTGCTTACTTCCTCCAAGACTTCTGCGGATGTGAGGTACAAAGCTGAAAATCAACAAGGAATATTCATTTAAATGTGCAATGTGTAACTTTTTTGGTAGGAGGTATGTCACATGCCCATCTCCATGGAGATACTGTTGCTTGGCCTAGAACGTTCTGCAGTATTCTATTATAATCTAATAATAATGTAATAACAATAGTTTATCGTTTATGATCGTGCAACATAAACCACAATGAGATTGGAAAAAAATGTAAGGATTTTTTGTTTTTCATTTATGGTTGTACAAACTAATAATAATGTTAACAGAGGCATAAAGGTTTATCGTTTATGATTGTATAAAATAAAAGGTAATGTTAAAGAAAATTTTAAAGAAAAGCATGTGTTTAGTAGTTAATAGACATGTTTTTTTTTTTTTTTTATACCCCCATCTCACTAATCCCACCCTCAAAACTTAAACCCACCCACAACCCAGGTCCTACATGCACAATACAGGTTATATATAAATAACAATCTGCGTTGTATTTATTACCTCCACCAAGGAGGTTATGTTTTTGCCGGCGTTTGTCTGTTTGTTTGTTTGTTTGTTTGTTTGTTTGTTTGTCTGTTAGCAACATAACTCAAAAAGTTATGGACTGATTTTGATGAAATTTTCAGGATTTGTTGGAAATGTGAAAAGGAAGAACTGATTTCATTTTGGGGGTGATCCGGAAGAAATCCTGGATTCTGGATCACTTTGAAATTTTAGTTAACATTGTGGTAAATGGGGCCAAAAATTTTGTTTCTCAATATCTCGGTTAATTATTGACCAAACCCCATGAAATTTGACTCAGGGATGGACAATGGGATCCTCTTTCATATTCCAAATTGAAAGATAAGAGACAAATATTTATGGAAAACACAATTAATATGAGGGGGACTGTAGTCCTTGGCGGAGGTCTGCGCTCTCTGAGTGCTTTTCTAGTTTATTTATTTTTCCATTTATACCATTTGTACCAGTGGAAGCACACTAAATTGTAAATTTGCCTTGACACCCTCTTGAGAAAGCTTTAAAGTATTCTGTTACAATCTGTTTTGGACATAGTCATTTTGAATTTAGCCCTGTGACGTGCTGCTTATCTCCATGGAGATAGACAAAGTTAATGCCATACCACTGAACATTCCAGCCAAACAGATAACATCTCCATGGAGACAAGCAGTTGGCAGACCCTCCGCGAGAAAAATTAGCACCATTAACTACCAGTAGTAGTTAATGTAGTAAAGCTGTAATGTTTTTTTTATTATCCTTGTAGGGAAATTCTTCTCTGCATTTCACCCATCCTTTCAGGAGCATTGGGCAGCACATGATCTTGTTGCTAGGCTTGGTCAGGACTGCCTTAGCTGGAGGATTTAACGTATATATACGATACTATATCTAAAACAAACATGGCGATGCCGTCAGAAGTACTTCAGACTATTTTAGTGGAAAGTCTTTGCTTGAACACCCTGATCACTGGTTCCATCCCAGACTGATGTGTAGACCTCTATTCAGAGGCCTACACATATCAATCATAACTTATATTCTGTGCAGGTGGAGTTGAGTTTGTGGAACACTTGCACATACAAAGCTTTATCCTTGTGTCCCTAAACGCCTCGTGTTGTGTTCAGGTGGTGTTGGACCTGTGGGAGCATTTGGACATGTGCAAAGAGGGACAGATGTCGTGGTTGAGTCGACAGTTGGACGAAGCAGATTTCATCATCACAATCTGCTCCAAAGGACTTCGGTAAGACTCGGAATTAAACTGGATCTAATTCAAAGGGCCTATACCCAATTTTTCCCCCATGTATTTGAGTAAAATCTGCCTTGCCACAGTACAGATATATTTTAAAAGCAGCTCTCAGAAAGTCCTCGTTTGCATGCTAGTTGTTGTTAGTCTTGCCATCGTGGCTACTGAAAATAGAGAAAAGCTCTCATAAACTTATCAAAGTGAATATTTAAGATGCCTGGAATGATTTTGGACCAGTTTTTCCAACTTTTTAATTAAAATGTTGCAATGTAAATACATCTCAAATTACATTCTTTACAGTTTTCCTTGTATAAGTAAGGTTAATGTTTTGAGCTACAAAATCTTAGGTAAATGATTAAAAACTAAGGATTATGGCAGTCTTTATTGCATTTGAAAACCTACAGCAGGTGACAGCATTTTTACGTTTCAGTTTGTTGGTTCTGGAGGCTCCAGAGTGGCACCAATACTTTATAATGTACAATAGGGAAGTAATGTCATCTGTTTAGCTATTTTTGTCAAATTGGTTCATGTATTTCCAAATGTTGTGCCAGGTATTTTGTTGAGAGGAAGAGTCGTCGTGGAAAGACCCCCGTCGGACGCCGCGGCAACAGTAGCCCCGCCCCCAAAGACAACAGGCCAAACGGCAGCGGTGAACGTCCAGCCTCCAAGGACAGCGGACCGATCGGCGGCGGCGGCGGGGGTGACTTGTTCCTGGTTACCGTGGCGATGATCTCGGAGCAGCTGCGATTGGCCAAACAGAGCGAGAAGGAGCTGAGCCGCTTCATGGCCGTTTATTTTGATTATTCCACCGAGAACGACATCCCCACAGCGCTCAGCCTCGCTCCAAGGTGAGTTATGTGTACAGCTAAGACACCGTTTAATTTAAAGGGCCCATATGACACTGTTTTCCGATCTATGGTATAATGTTTCTTCATCACAAGCACACCTGGAGTTGTGTTTTGTTTCATTCCCACGTGCTTAACACACAAACCTCCATATTTATTCTTCTCTCAAAACGTAGTGCTCCATTCTGTTTTTAAACTCCATGCACCTTCACTAGAATCATGATTTCAGCCCTGGAATTGCCAATCTCTACTGAACTAAAGGTAAAAGGTAGCTATTACCTTGAAAAATACCACTACAAGACATCAAAAGGCTTTGGAGATGTAGACAGACTAATAATAAAGGCTTACTCAAACAATGTGAATGAAACAAATCACAATTCCAGGTATGTTTTTAATTAGGTAACGGCATTATAACACAACTTACAGCTCACAAGGGTAAATTTTTATGTGATACAGGACCTTTGAATGTATTTAGAAAAAGTTTTACAATGCTTTATGACAGGGCTGTAAGTGCATCAAAACAACATAACAAACTTAGCAATTCATAAACACTATATTTATGAGTTTCAGATGACATCACTGATATCTATAGGCCAATGTTATTAATACAGGTGAGGGGGCAGCTAAAATGTATATATATTTTTTTTTAAATGAGGTTAGTGGGACTAGTTACTAATAAAAATCGTCATTGTGGATTTACCTTTTTGATATTTCATGTCAAAGTACAATGAAATCACCAAGGAAATCTGGCTCTTGCCCCTCATCTGGCAGTATTACCTTATAGAAGCTGAAAACCCCACATAAGTTTTTAATTAGTTCCTAAACCTTCTTTTGCTCAGCTTGGCATTCGTATTTTATGTTTTAGGACTTAGAATAATGTCTGTATTTGTAAAACACTTTAAAAGCAAGAGGTTTGTGATCAAATTTGAGAGCTCCCTCTGCTGTCAACAATATGAAAAAACAACAACAAAGGAGGGAGCAATGTGACTGACCTTTATACAGATGTAGTGAAACACACATTTCTGGTGAGGATTTATGGACTTAAAGCTACAGTGTGTAACCTTTTTAAAGTAAAATAATAATAATATTTATAATATATCCATTTAGGTTGTTATTGCACTGAAAATTAAATGTTAAACATGCATCTTTACTGTGAACGGACTTGCATCTCCACAAACGTGACTCTTCTTTGGCTTATTCCTGCTTGTTTCATTGAAAATATTTTTTCTTTTGGCTATAATATTCCATTGGAATTCCATTAGTGTGGCAAAACTTGTCTATTTCCATGGAGAATGTTCAGAAAATTGCATACTGTATCTTTTAAAAGAGACTTATCCATTCAGATTGAGCTATTTGGGGAAAACTGAAACTAAATCTGTGTTAGATTGAGTAGATGTTCTTATTTTAAGGCCTTTTACAATTATAATTGACTAGCAAAATAATGTTAGTGGGAGGCCTATTGCAAGGCTTTGAGATATTTTCAAATACAAACATACAAAGACATAATAATTATTTCGAAGACTGAAGATAACTAATATAAGGTGGAGATTTGCTGTGCCAAACAATATTTATTTTAATTTATTTGACATCACAACACACTTTTCCAACTTGCATACATATATTTTTCTTTTCCAGGCTGAAGTTGATGGACCAGTTGCCACAGCTCTTCTCTCGTCTGCACTCGTCTAACTCTTCTCTGTGGGACGGAGCGCCCCATAATGTCTCACGCAGGAACTACTTCAGGAGCAAATCTGGCCGTTCCCTGTACGTCTCCATCTGTAACATGCACCAGTTCATCTCACAGAGTCCTGACTGGTTCGACCAACAGCTGCACTTGCAAACAGGAAGTCCCGCCTCCAGCTCAGTTCCTGTTCCCTGCGAGGCCACGCCCACAGCGGCCCCACAGTCCAGTCTAGTCCTGAATGAAGTCACCGTGAAGACGCTAGAATCGGCGCCAAAGAAGAACCTGGTCTTGTTGGCACCAGGATCTGAACCGGCCCCAGCGTTCAGTTCCAGTCTAAGTCCGAGTTATAGTCCTGGTTACGAGTCGGGTCCACGATGCTCTCCTCTCCCCAGAGCCTCCTCCAGGTAAAACTCAAAAGAAAACCCAAAACATGTCCATACCTTTGAGACCAGTGATTCAAACTTTTCACATCAAGTGCCACCAAAGAAAATATTTAGCCTTCTACATACCAGCTGATCTATAATAGGAGTATTGATACTTTACACCTAATGCGACATGGGGGTGTGATGCTAACTCTAGGCACTTTTTTCATTTTTTTGTTGAAATCACCTAAACAGGACCATGAACGCTCGTATTGATCACAGGCTCCTGAAAATGTGCTGTTTAAATCCATTTTGTATTTTTTTCCTCAACTTTTCAGGCAAACAAAAGTTCAAAAGTTTACTAATGTGTGCATTGTGTCTCTATGGTAACCGCTGAACATTTTGCCATAGACATACTGTAAATGTGAGTCTACACTAGTCTTAAACAAGTCTTAAATGGGATCAATTATACAAATTTTTGAAGGCGTCCAAACTAGAACAAGTTAGCACGCCACTGTTTTTAGAATATTGAGTATATACTGTACTCAAAGTGGAAAGAGCTGATTAAAAATGTGTTAAACTTGAATCTCAACCAAGACATTTATAGGCACATAAAAAAAAAAAACCAAAAAACATTGCTATAGCAATTAAGAATTCTATTGAATGGTCAAAAGCCCTCAAGGATGGCGTATAAACAGAAAGCTGTGATATATACCCATCATCACCACCACGATAATGAGTATATGTAGCTTATTGGGTTCTTTTTAAAGACAATACAGTAAAGTGTATTTACCTTGTTGACATGTTTTGGCTGCCATCTTCAGAACTGTCCCTGGTGTTGGTGGTGACGTGTCGTATATCAGCTGTTGTTACTTCCTGTGGGCGTGGTCAGACTGATGGACCTGCAGGTCGCTCAGACTGACCACGCCTCCTGTCGCCCGGTGTTCTCTGGAGGAGGGTGTCCCAGGTGTGTGAAAGGAGGAACGCTCCTTCATCACGGTTAATGCTGTCCGTGCCTCGTTTCCTGATTTCACTGTCCTCCCCGATCCAATGACCCGTGCCCCGTCCTAATCCAGAATGTGGTTATTTCTTTTACTGAATCTCCCATTAGGACACCAGAACACAAAAAGACAAAGGAGAGCAGGAAAACCTCAAATCTGCCATATTGGTATAGATTGGGAAGGGGCTCGGGTCATTGGATCTTCAATGAGGTCTCCCTGAGGTCATTGGGCCTCAGGGAGGCCATTAAAATCAGGAAACGAGGTACGGACAGCATTAACCGTGATGATGGAGCTCTCCTCCTGTCACACACCTTGGACACCCTCCTCCAGAGAACACCAGGCGACGGGAGGCGTGGTCAGTCTGAGCGACCTGCCAAGTCCATCAGGCTGACCACCTACAGGAAGTATCAACAGCTGATGTACGATACGTCACCACCAACACCGGGGACAGTTCTGAAGATGGCAGCATGTCAAAAAGGTAAACATGTCAACAAGGTAAATACACTTTTTTTAAAAAGAACCCGAGAAGCTAGAGTACATAAGAAGTCAAAATGACCATCTTTGGTTTAATGAGTATATGGGTTGCATGATCCTTTTTAGTGTAGTGTTTTCAAGTGCCCCGGAATCACAAAAAATCATACAATATTAGAAATGTGCCAAAGGGCGAAAGAGGGATAGAAACAAGATCCTTTTAAATACCTACTTCCTTTTTGGTGATGTGAAACTCGCTTTAGTGGCTTTTCATAGTGGTGTTCTGTTGCTTTCTTTTAGTATCACAGACTTCTCACCTGTCCTGTTTTGTGTGTGCAGGTGCAGCGCCCCTCTGCCTGCTCCCTCCCCCTCTGCTGTGTCCTCTGTAAATGTCCCACATGTGAAGACTCCGCACCCTGTGGAACAGCTCAAACCGATTCAAGACCAGGACTCAGGCCCGGTCCAGGGTCTAGATCAGGGACCGGAGCCTTCGCCCCCTGAACCTCCCCCGCGGGATTCAGGGATATACGACTCCTCCGTGCCCTCCTCGGAGCTCTCCATACCGCTCATGGATGGGCTGTCACATGACCATGTAGACTCGTCCTCGTTGGCTGACAGCGAGTCCTCTTCCTCTGGACTTGGTACGAAACATTACTTTTCATATTAAAGGTGCATTGTGTAACTGTTCAGGTGAAGGGTCCATCACCGTCACCCAATCGGACTAAGTTACATGTCAGATCAGTGGAGAGGAGACCCAGCTCACTGTCAGAATGTCTGTTTTTCCAGGTATTTTTGAGCAATGAAACCACCTGCAATTGAATAAATATAAGGTAGAGCTGTTTAATGTCACACTGTGGAACATTCAAGGCAGAGCAATGACAAATCCATAGAAACAAGCAGGTGATGGGCCCTCCACCAGAAAAGTTGCACCATGCATCTTTAAAGCTGCAAGATAAATCTTAATCGAATCAAAATCACAATCTGAATTTGAACGGACGCAATTGGCAAACCCCAAAGCTGACATTTTTGAAGAGAAAACAAAAATAATAATAATTTTAAAAAGGTGTATAATTGTTACGTTCCAGCGGATGTCATCAACATTCCCTGGGGATGTGAAACTAACTATAGGCACTGCTCTGTCTGGTGTCTCTATTACTCAAGTTGGACTTTCATCTGAGCTTTAATTTCACACAATTTGACCATAAATAACTGATTTACCTGGAATTTGAGCTGATTTATGCAGTTAAAGTCCCTCCCAAATAACATTACAGTCACATAAACCAATAGTTTTTCCACTTAGATACTCTCTTTTTTTTGTTTTTGTTGTTGAAACCCCTAAAGAGGACCTCGCACTCATATTGACCACGGTCTCCTGAAAATATGTTGCCTAATCCATTTTGTGTTTTTTCTTGAGCTTTCAGACTTACAGACTAATTTTTTTTTTTTACTGTGTTTACTAATGTATGCATTGTGTCACTTTGGTAACTACAGAAACATCCCCCCATAGAAATACACGTAGAACACCCCCCAGTGGTAAGAGTAAGGAAGGAGATTATTGTTTCATGATGCCTGTAATTCCCAGACTTGTTTTCAAAGCATGATTTCCATTCTAACAAAGCACCATCTCTGTTCTTTCAGGTGATGAGGAGCCTCCCACTGTTTCCTCTTTCCTCTGCAGCGCCACCACTGTGTGTAAGGCGGAACTGCACCGACAAGAGGCCCCCGTGATGTCACTGTGAACGGCCAATCGGAGCAAAGGACTCTAGTGACGTCATCTGCCAAGCTTTTTATGAATGGACAAAATGGAGTTACTGAACATTTGTAACGACTTATTTGAAGGACTCGATTGGACAAATTTGAGCCTCTTTTGTTTTAACATAAATATTTACTGTTAATAATATTACATAGCACTTTGACGCAGAAATGCAGGAAGCCACAAAGCGCAGCACAGACTGTTACAAGCGTCCAATCAGGTCGCAGCAGCTTGATCACATGGTACTTAATGGACTGGCTTTTGTGACTTTTTTTTTTTTTTTTTCACTTATTTTTACAGCTCAAAAGCTTAATGCAGTTACTCATAGTTTGCATTTTAACTTGTAATAACTTTTCAAATGTCTGATGGAAAATTTTTACTTCAGTACTTTATGAATCTTTTATGAGTCTGGTCACTGTTAAATCTCCCAGAGTTCAGATGGGCGTGATTGACAGGTGGATTAGCCAATCAGGGACATGCACGGTTTGTCTGTATTAAAACAAATATGGCCATGGGAAGAAAAGTAATATCACGAGGAACTGAATTTTTATTTAAAAGTGTGGCTTTTTTTTTTTTTTTTTTTTACTATTTTAACAGTAAATGAAAAACTTTACTTCTGTAGAAAATCAAAGTTACATTTTACAAATCTTCTGTAAACTAGTGGTACTTGTTTAACTATTTCAGAATTCATCAAAGGGAAGTTCTTATTGGACTTTTATTCTGAAGGGACAACTTGGCGTTTCCTGTCTGTACAGATTTTATTTTGGAAATGTCTGATGTTTTAAATGTTTTTATTGCTGTTTATTAATAATTCAATATTTTTCTACATTTTATAGAGTTGTACTGTTTTATAGTACTGTCCTGTAGGAATAAATCATTTAATACAAACTGTTTGTTCTTGGTCTTGGAGCTAGTGAAGTTAGTGAAGACTTGTTTAAAGTCACCCACCAGGGGGCAGTAAAGATCCTCCAAGTTGAGACCCAGGTGCTGATGTAATTGCAGAGTAAAAGAGAGAAAAACTTGGGTCATATTACAGTATTGTTCACCTTTAAGACTCACAACTTTGAAGAAACTCCATGCAAGATTTTTATTTTTTAAAGGTGCAATGTGTAACTGCACAGTAAAAACTGGAGGGTTAAAATTTTAGGGTAAAATATTTCAGAGACGTTTTTAACACCAAAAGTGTTTTTTTAACTATTTGAAAGTTAAATGGGGGGTTGAGTTGGGGTTATTTGCCAGAGTTGATGTGGTTGAGGTTAATTCAACTTCCTCTAGTGTTAATTCAACTTCTCTTAGTTTTAATTCAACTTCTTTTAGCGTTAATTCAACTTCTTTTAGCGTTAATTCAACTTCTTTTAGTGTTAATTCAACTTCTTTTAGTGTTAATTCAACTTCCCTTAGTGTTAATTTGGCTCCTCCCATTCACCACTTCAAACTCTTGTGAAAGAAGACCAGTTTGAACCATTTTTTTTTTACATAATTTCATCTTAACTGAACCAAAATGAAGTAAAAATAAAATAAAACACCTCTGTGTGTTGTTTAGCGAAATCAGAATAACTCTACAAAGTGTTATCAGTTTACTCTCAAAACATGAATATAACTCTGGATTTCGAGGTTAAACTGGAACTTTGGTCCAGTGTTACTTAATTAACATTTCCAAAAATGTTAAATTAACTCTAGAACAGATTGGACTCATATAAACTCTGAGAAAATGTTAAAGTTGATCCTGTGAGAGTTAATTTTAACACTCCACTTTTTGCTGTGTGGAGGGTCCACCATTTGCTTGGATTCTGCTAATACTTTTCAGAGCAAGAAAATAATTGTAACTGAATAAATGTATGACAGATAAGTTAAAAGCCATAATGTGAAACCTTCTGTACAAAGCAAAACAAAACCAAAAACCAAAAAAACAACAACAAAAAAATCTTTGGAGACAAAAAGACTCTCCATCTGAAAGGTTACACAGAACACCTTTAAATTTGATAAACCTGCATATGAGGTAAACATGTTCAAATCAGATAGAGGTTTTACTGATAACAATTCCAAAGCAGATTTATTCGTCATTTCAAAAACACTGAACACGATGTCCCGATGTATTTATTTAATTAATTGTAATTGTGTTATTATTTTGGGTTTAAAAGGAGTGTTGTATTTATTTAGGAGCAGAAGCGCTGAGTCTTTTGATGCCTTTTTACAGTCGTCATAAATCCATAGGCGTCTCCAGTCCGATGGTTCAGATAATATCGTTTTTTCCAGATAAAACATGTTGTTAAAGTTGATAAGGAGCTTAAACTGTCAGGGGCTTGTGTCTGGGGGAGATTTACAACCGTGAAACTGGTTGAACAACGTCAGTGAAGCAGAGGAGAAAGGATTTAGCCTTAAAACAGCACAAAACGGACAGAAAGAGGGCCCTTCACAATAAAAGCACACGGTATAAACAAGACTATATGTGGACAGAAATGAAAATAGTAGCACTCATTAAACAGATAAAGAATTGAAAGATGGGAGAGTTAGATTATAAAAAAAAACATAAGATAATAAGGGATTTTCATAATAAAACCTTATTAAAAAATTAGAACCTATTACTGAGATTAACTGAAGTATTATTAACTCCTTTAAATTCAAATTTACTTGTGCAGCAAACTTTGAATTTTCCTACATTTTTACATGAATTCCACCTTAAAAATTTAGTTATTTATTCAATACTGACATAGCCATTGTATTGTATTCAACTGGATGTATTGTTTCAGGTGTTTAAAATACAAGTGTTAATCCTCAACATTTGTCCATAGGAGGCATTTAAAGGGGATTAGAGTCCAGAAAGGACTGTTTTAACTTTATTTCAAGTCCCTAAATCTGATTTTTAGTGGTTTTGGCTTAAGTGAAAAAGGAATTGTCAAGAATGTTCCACAGTATAACGTTAAACAGCTCTATCTTACATTTATTCAATTACAGGTGGTTTAATGGGTCAAAATTACCTAGAAAAACAGATATTCTGACTGTGAGCGAGGTTGCCTCTCCACAGATCTGATCTGTAACTTGGTCTAGTTTGGTCTCCATGAAGATAGAAAGGCTTAATGCCATACTGTGAAACATTCCAGACAAAGCAATAACATCTCCAAGCCATTTGACATACCCTGCACAAGAAAAGTTACACAATACACCTTTAAGTAATCTGTCTGTGTCTAAAGAGTCATAAAAGATCATTATTAAGATCTTATCCTAGTGCAAAAAAATAACCAAAAATGCCACTAGTACAAAGAAAAAGTGCCTATAGTAATTATCGTGACAGTCCTATTTACTTCTATTTATATTTACCTAAAAAATTCAAGTGGTATTTAATATCTGTTTTTTTTTTTCAGTGCAGAGGAGAGAGTATATCAAATCAAAACTACAAAACTACAGAGTCTCAGCTTCACAAAGAGCCCAGCCACTTGACTGGACTCCAAAGGGTTCACAAATAGACTTGCTTAAATCCTTGTTTAGTCTGGGTTAAGCCCTTGTTTAGTCCTGGGTTAGTTCTTAGAGTCTTTTAATTTTTATTGTCTTTATGCAGTAATTTTGTTTTACTAAGCTATATTACATGATTTTCTGATCTATATTATAATGTTTCCTCACCACAAGCTGGAGTTGTGTTTGTTTCATTCTCAAATGTTTGACACACAAACCCTGCAGATTTAGGCTGAGTTCTTTTCTCAAACAAAAAACACTCTGTTCCACTTTGTGATGTCATGCGGTGATACGATCAAGTGCTTCATTGTGTTTTTAAACTCCACACACCTTCACTAGAATCATTTAGATTATTTGAGCCCTGGATCTGTCGATCTCCAATGAACTAAAGGTAAAAGGAGATGTTAACTTGAAAACTGGAACTTCATGACATCACAAGGTGGAACAGAGCACTTTGAGTTTAGAAGATGCAGGCAGACCAATAATGTAAATTTACTCAAACATGTGTGAGTGAAACAAAACACAACTCCAGGTCTGTTTTTGAGGAAGTAACAGCATTATAACATGGTATAAAAAAAAAGAAAAAAAAAAGAGTCAATTTTGCATAATATAGTACCTTTTACCTACGTTGTCTTATTTCTTTCTTAAGTCCTAGTTAAGATCTGGTTTTGACTTGGGTTAGTCCAGGTGTGGTCCTTTTGTTTGTTTTTTTGTCCTACTTAAGTCTTGGTTAAATCCTGGTTTAGTCCCAGTTTAACTCCTGTTTTGGCCCTGATCCTGGTCTAGTTCTGCTGTAGAAGTATATCAATTGTGAAAAGTTACAAATAAGACCCACATTACTGCGAGCAAAGTGAAAATCTGACATGTTTTAGTTGGTTTTGGTGGAATACAGGAGTGGTTGCAGAGCTTGTTCCCACTTGTAATTAGATGAGATCAGATAATTAGGGAAGATCAGAGTCTCATCTTCACAAAGAGCCCAGTCAGCCCAGTTTGTCTGTGCTCCAAAGTGTTCAGAAACAGTTTCACTTGGACTAGACGAAGATTTTAGTCTGACGTTTTAGTTAAAGGTGCACCATGTAACTTTTGGAGCGTCTGTCTCCTGCTTCTCTCCATGGAGATACTGTCTGGAATGCAGTGTTGGGAAGATTAATTTTAAAATGTATTCCTTTACAGATTACAGATTACAGATTACATACACCAGAATGTAGTTTGTAACGTAATCCATTAAATTACTTAAAGTGAGTAATGTAATCTGAATACTTTGGATTACTTGATATTGTCATGCTTTTTAAAACTACATGAATGTAGCAACACATCCTGAAAATTCTAGGTGCTTGTCTTCAAATTGTCTGTTGAGCCCAAGTCTCCATGAACAGGCAGTTGTTTGCTGTAGAGAAGCAAAGATGAGGAAATCTTAACAAAATATAAGTCTGCTTAAAGACAATAAAAAGTCCAGTTTTTACTTAACCATATTAAAAATATTATTGATAGAAAAATTATTTTTATATGAGATCAGTGCTGCCTGAAATTATGTCCACCCTACTGTTAGGTATCACATTGTTTAGACCTGGTTTAGTCCTGGTTTTAGAACTGGTTTGGTCCTAGTTTACACTTGATTTAGTCCTGGTTTTAGACCTGGTTTAAGCCTAGTTTACACCTGGTTTAGTCCTAGTTTAAACAGTCCTGGTTTAGTCCTAGTTTAGACCTAGTTTAGACCTGGTTTAGTCCTGGTGTAGTCCTGGTTTAGTCCTGGTTTAGTCCTAGTTTACACCTGGTTTAGACCTAGTTTAGACCTGGTTTAGTCCTGGTTTAGTTCTAGTTTAGACCTGGTTTAGTCCTAGTTTAGACCTAGTTTAGACCTGGTTTAGTCCTGGTTTAGTCCTGGTTTAGTCCTAGTTTACACCTGGTTTAATCCTAGTTTAGACCTAGTTTAGACCTGGTTTAGTCCTGGTTTAGTCCTGGTTTACCCCTGGTTTAGACCTAGTTTAGACCTAGTTTAGGCCTGGTTTTAGTCCTGGTTTAGTCCTAGTTTACACCTGGTTTAGTCCTAGTTTAGACCTGGTTTAGGCCTGGTTTAGTCCTGGTTTACATCTGGTTTAATCCTAGTTTAGACCTAGTTTAGACCTGGTTTAGTCCTAGTTTACACCTGGTTTAGACCTAGTTTAGACCTAGTTTAGGCCTGGTTTTAGTTCTGGTTTAGTCCTGGTTTTAGTTCTGGTTTTAGTCCTGGTTTAGCCCAGAATGTGAAAACAGGAAAATACCACCATGTAATCTCATTTATTTCAACAAAGTAACTGTAATCCAATTACCACTCACTGAAACAGTAACTGTAACTGAATACAGTTACTCATAATTTGTACTCTGATTACATAACGCCGGTACATGCAATCTGTTACTGCCCAACACTGCTGGAATGTTCCACAGTATGACATAACACTTCCTTATCTCTACAGAGACAGCAGTTGACACCACAGGCTCAAGTTTAATGTCAAATCTGCGGAGAGGCGAGCCCACTCACAATAAGAATGCAACTTTTTAGGTCAATAAAAACCCACGTTATTGAGTAAATACAAGATACATTCAATGCCACACCGGGACATTCCAGACAAAAACAATAACATCTCCACCTCTGCCAGAAAAGTTACACAGTGCACCTTTGGGATCAGTCGGATTGATAAGTGGTTTCACAAAAAAAAAAAAAAAAAAAAAAAAAAGCACAAGGATCTATGTGAATAATAAAGAATTTCAAGTATGTTTGAATTTGACAACAGAGAGTTCAAATTTAAAAAGAGAAAGAAAGAAAGAAAGAAAGAGGGAGCGGGAGAGAGTCAGAAAAATCTTTAGGAATCAAGGAAATGTTTTTGTAATTAATTATTAAGTGAAAAAACCTGAACTTGTGTGCTTTAAGCCATGTTATAATGTTGTTACCTCATCAAAAACTGGAGTTGTGTTATGCTCTGTTCCACCTTGTGATGTCATGAAGTGGTAGTTTTTAAGTGAACGGCTCCTTTTACCTTTAGGCCAGTAGAGTTCTGCAATTCCAGAGCTGAAATTATCCAAATGATTCTAGTGAAGCTACAGTTCTGCATTAGACTTGGTTTGATTGAGTCATGATTTAGTTCTAGTTTAGTTCTGGTCTGGTCTTGCATTAACCTTTGTTTGATCCTTGTTTAGTCCTATGTTAGTCCTAGTTCAGTTCTGATTTAGTCCTGGTTTAGTTCTGGTTTAGTCCTGGTCTAGCCCTGTCTTAGTCCTGATTCAGCCCTGTGTTAGTCCTGATCTAGCCCTGTCTTAGTCCTGGTTTAGTTCTGGTTTTGTTCTGTTCTACCACTATCTTAGTCCTGGTTTAGTCCAGGTCTAGTCCTGATTTAGTCCAGGTCCAGCCCTGTTTTAGTCCTGTTTTAGTTCTGGTTTAGCCCTTTCTTAGTCCTTATTTAGTTCTGGTTTGGTTCTGGTCTTGTCCTGTCTTAGTTTTGGTTTAGTTCTGGTTCAGTCCTGGTTTAGTTCTGGTCTAGCCCTTGTCTTAATGCTGGTTTGGTTCTGGTCTGGCCCTGTCTTAGCTCTTGTTTAGTCCAGGTTTGGTTCTGGTTTAGTCTTGTCTTAGTCCTGGTTTAGTTTTGGTTTAGTTCTGGTTCAGTCCTGGTTTAGTTCTGGTCTAGCCCTGTCTTTATTCTGGTTTAGTTCTGGTCTATCCCTGTCTTAGTCCTGGTTTAGTTCTGGTTTAGCTCTGACTTAGTCCTTGTTTAGTCCTGGTTTGGTTCTGGTCTAGCCCTGATTTAGTCCTGTTTAGTCCTGGTTTATCTCTGTCTTAATCCTGGTTTAGCCCTGTCTTAGTTCTGGTTAGGTTTTGGTTTAGTTCTGGTTTAGTCCTGGTTTAGTTCAGGTCTAGCTTTGTCCTAGCCTTGGTTTAGTTCTAGTCTAGGTCTGTCTTAGTCTTGGTTTAGTCCTGATTTAGTCCTGGTTTATCTTTGGTTTAGTTCTGGTTAAGTTCTAACTCTGTCTTAGTCCTGGTTTAGTTCTAGTTTAGCCCTGTCATAGTCCTTGTTTAGTCCTGGTTTAGCTCTGGTTTAACCTTGTATTAGTCCTGGTTTAGTTTTAATTTACTTCTGGTTTAGTCCTGGTTTAGTTCAGGTCTAGCTTTATCTTAGTCCTGGTTTAGTTCTGGTCTAGGTCTGTCTCAGTCCTGGTTTAGTCCTGATTTAGTCCTGGTTTAGCTTTGGTTTAGTTCTGGTTAAGTTCAAACTCTGTCATAGTCCTTGTTTAGTCCTGGTTTAGCTCTGGTCTAGGTCTGTCTCAGTCCTGGTTTAGTCCTGCTTTCTAATACCAATGCACTCTATCTATATCTTGTGCTTTTATTTTGAAGGTGAGACTTGTTTGTCCAGGACCAGCCTCTCCACACAATCTCTGCTGCTGTGTCTTTTGGATCTGATCAAACCTGCTCCAACTTCATTCAAAAGAACTTTTATCTTTGTGTATTTTCATGATTTTGTGGATTATTTTCAAATCAGATGCAGAAAAATGACGACTGTCCGAAAAGATCCAGGTAAGGTTGTTTTTTAGAGTAAAGTAAGAAGCTGAATTCTTTGTTGACAGGTTTAATCTTGGTTATGTCTAGACTTGGTTTGGTCCTGTTTTGGTAGAGTGGAGTTGCTTTAGTCCTTGTTTAGTCTTGGTGAAGTCCTAGATTAGTCAAGGTTTGGTCCCTACTAGTTTAGTCCTGTTTAATAGTCTTATAGTTTTGGTCATTGGTCCTGCTTTAGTCCTTGGTTTTAGAGATGACATTTGTGAAAAGTTATTGGAAAGTGAGTTGCTTTAGTTCTTGTTTAGTCTTGGTTAAGTCCTGGGTTAGTTCTTGTTGAAGTCCTGTTATAGTTTATGTCCTAGTTTAGTCCTTTTTAAGAGATGTCAGCCACTTTAGTCCTAGTTTAGTCCTGGGTTAGTTCTGTGCTAGTTTAATCCCATTTAATATTCCTATAGTTAAGCTGCATATTGCTTTTGTTTTGTCTCGTTTAAATCCTGGTTTAGGCTTAGTTAAGCTCGGGCTTAGTTTTAGTCCTGTTTAAGTCCTGACCCTGGTTTAGTCCTGGTTAAGCGATGCCAGTTGCTAGGATAGTCCTGTTTAATAGTCCTGTAGTTTGGTCATTGGTCCTGCTTTGGTCTTTGTTTTGTCTTGGTTAAATCCTGAGTTAGTCTTAGTTTAAGTCCTGTTTTAGTCCTGGTCCTGGTTTAGTCCTGGTTTAGTTCTGAGGCTCCTACTACTTTAATTCTGTTTAATAGTTCTGCAGTTTAGCTTTATGTTGTTCTTGTTTAGTCTTGGTTAAGTCTTGGGTTAGTTCAAGTTTAAGTCCTGTTGTTAATTGATTTAGTCCTGGGTTAGTTCTGAGGTGATTTTACTAGTTTACCTGTGTATTTTTCTTGTTTATTCTTGGTTAAATCCTGGTTTAGTCCTATAATTTAAGTCCTATTTTGGCCCTGATCTTCGTTTACTCCTGTTTTAAAGACAGCACTTACAGAAAAGTTACAAATACTATCCAATATTTGTGACAGAAGAGTGAAAAATCTGATGTTTTAGTTGTAGTTTTTGGTTAAATAGGAGTGGTTGGGTTTGGGAGCAGCAGCAGCAGCAACAGCAGTGACTCAGAGGCTCCAGCTCAAACTCATGACTGTCTGCTTTTAATAAACTGATTTTTACAACTCGACTCTGCAAGAAAAACATGAGAAAAGCGCATTTAGAAGTGGGAAGAAGTAAGGTTTGGCCAAGTTCAAACCGTTGTGTAACACGCGTGAGATTGAAAGCAGTTTATAATGAAAAACAACGTCACTTTCAGAGTTTAAAGTTAAGTAAAGTTCATGCTGCAAGAACTAAAACCTATTCAAGTTAAGATCACTTGAATTAAGAAAGTTTCATCATGATCTGAGTAAATTTCACATGACAAGTAAAATTATCTACCAGTGGAATACAACTTTTTGTACTTAAAATATGAAAAAAACCTTGCTATACTTACAAATACATAAGAATAACAGCAGCTCTTTGGATGTAAAATAAGAAACTAAATCAAATGTTGTTGCAATGAAGAAAAACACTCTTATCCTATTGGTAGATCATTTTACGTTTAGGTTGAATCTACTCAAATAAAGTCAAATGTTACTTATTTAAGCCATTCTTTAAATTTACCTAGATATTGCTTTTTGCAGTGTAAGTCTTGCGTCAGAAATGTATGCTATATTAATTTTTTTTAGCTTAACTCTGTAGTAATTCACATTTGAGTAATACAACTACTTCTTCAGAACCCAAATCACTCTGTTTTAAGATAGGTGCTAATTGTTTTAAGCATAGTATAAAGTAAGTAAGGAAGGAAGGAAGGAAAAAAGGAAGGAAGGAAGGGAGTAACTAAGTAAGTAAGTAAGTAAGTAAGGAAGGAAGGAAGGGAATAACTAAGTAAGGAAGTAAAGAAGGAAGGAAGGAAGTAACTAAGTAACGAAGGAAGGAAGGAAGTAACTAAGTAAGGAAGGAAGGAAGGAAGTAGATAAGTAAGTAAGAAAGGAAAGAAGGAACGAAGGGAGCAAGCAAGGAATTAAGTAAGCAAGGAAGGAAGGAAGTATGTAAGTAAGTAACTAAGTAAGGAATGAAGGAAGGAAAAAACGAAGGAAGGAAGGGAGTAACTAAGTAAGTAAGTAAGGAAGAAAGGAACTAAGTAAGGAAGGAAGGAAGGAAGAAAGGAAGGAAGTACATAAGTAAGTAAGGAAGGAACGAAGGAAGCAAGCAAGGAATTAAGCAAGCAAGGTAGGAAGGAAGTATGTAAATAAGTAACTAAGGAAGTAAGGAAGGGTTGGAAGGAAGTAACTAAGTAAGTAAGTAAATAAGGAAGAAAGGAAGTAACTAAGGAAATAAGGAAGGAAGTAAATAAGTGAGTAACTAAGTAAGGAAGGAAGGAAGGAAGTTTTAGTTTATATAGTGTTTTTCACAGACATGTGTCATAAAGACGCCTTTACAGATCATTATTCATTCACTCCATCCCCGGTCCTGCATAAAGATCCTATATTACGCAAAATTAACTCTTGTAAGCTTTAAGTCGTGTTATAATGTTGTTAAATCATCAAAAAATAAAAAATAAAAAAAATACCTGGAGCTGTTTTTTGTTTCATTCTCACATTTGAGTAATCCTGGTTTATGAGTCTGTCTACATCTTCAAAGCTCAAAATGCTCTGTTCCACCTTGTGATGTCATGAAACAGTAGTTTTCAAGTAAACAGCTCCTTTTACCTTTAATTGAGTAGAGCTTTGTAGCCAGGCTGGTGCCACCTAGTGCCTCCACTCAAATTAATTTCTCTCCAGTGACTAGGTCAGGGATCAGAAGACACTAGACGGTTTGCAAGAACCCCAGAAGTGCAAGTTCAGGCACAAGACAATCAGCAAAGAGCCATATATTCTGTGTTGGCAACGATTCCCGAGATCGAGGATTTAAAGCCAGAACAGAGAATGTTTGGTGAATTTTATCAAGGGGAAAGACGTTACTGCCTTTCTTCCTATGGGATTTGGGAAAAGCTTAATATACCAATTAGCCCCATTAATGGCGCATTACATACGTCATGACCAAACAGCAGTGATTGGTTAAATGAAAAAAAGTACCCATCTACAGTTGAGTGAACGAATCATAACGCTGTGAGGTCAGACGGTCTGATGAATCAGGCTAAGAGATTGGTATTTGCAGGGCTGAAATTATACAAATGATATTAGTGAAATTGTACAGAGTTTAAAAACACAGTAAAACAAACACTTTATGTATTACCACATGACATCACAAAGTGGGACAGTGTTTTCTGTTTTTTTATAGAAGAACTCAAACAGAAAACCTAAATATGCAGAGTGCTGTGTGTTAAACATGTGAGAATGAAACAAAACAAAACACAACTCCAGGTCTGTTTGTGATGAGGAAACAACATTATAACAAAAATCAGAAATAGCATTACCCTTTAAGCTGCTTCTGTTTTTAGTGCGTCACCTGGCAGAATTTTGCACCCTCTGCTGGCTATTGTGCAGCTTTTTGTAACTTCTAACTTACGGCTAATTTGTTTTTACTTGTTTTCCATGCTTTATTAAATTTCATACAACGTCATGTAAATTCCAAGGCGGTTTTCAAAAGTTTAAAATGCCTGAACAGCTGATGCAAGCAGGCTCTCCTTCAGGCCAAATAAGAGGCAAGTTTGTGGTGTGAAAACGACCGCTTTGAAGTCACAAGGTGGGGCAGAGCATTTTGAGCTTTGGAGATGCAGACAGACTAATAATGCAGTTACTCAAACATGTGTGAATGAATAAAAAGACAACTGCAGGTTCTGTTCTCCAGGTTTTTTGATGAGGCAACAACCTTATAACAACAGCTCACAAGTCAATTTTGCGCAATACAGGACCTTTAAATTGTGAAGATTACACTGTTTACGTGGAGGATGTTTTCAGAGGTTATCAGTCTGTTGTCAGAATGGGTCTAAGTCCAAACTCATCCACCACATCTGTACAATCAATACAGATATAGACCTTATCTGAATCAATAGACAGTCATAAGCAAATTCTGTGATCTTACAATATCTCTAAACATCAAAAATATGCAGTCAGTCCTCAGCTACAGGCAGCAAGATCCTAACGCAGATCTGACAATATAAGGAAAGTGGGGTGTACTCTCCACAGATCTGACTTGTACTTTGTTTGCTTGTTCTCCCTGCATGTCTCCACGCTTAATCTAAATCTAAATCTAAATCTAAATCATTAGTAGAGCATTCAGATCCACTGGTTGTGTTGTTGGCAGTGCGATTCCAGCTCTCACAGATGAATGCAGTCATTGTGTCCTTGAGCAAGACACTTAACTCACCTCAACCCTAGTATCTGTGTACACTGGTGTGGCATGTGAGTGTGAATGAGTGAGTAGTTCCTTGAGTTAAAGCACTTTCATTGCTTTGAAGGTGAAAAAGAGATGCATAAAAGTGTGACCATTTCACATGCTTTGACGCCACCTACTGCCTCCATTCAATTCCATTTCTCTCCAGTAGGGACGGGCATGATTAGTTGATTAATCGATAATTGATCATTAAGAATTTCATCGATTACGTTCATTTTAATCAACAAACAGAATGTAGGTTGCTGTGCGTAGTGTGACCAAACAGGTCTGTACATGTAGCTCTGTGCACTCAGAAGGAGCGAGACACAAACAGTCAGTCAGTCTACAACACAGGTGTCAAACATGCGGCCCAGGGGCCAGATCCGGCCCTCCAAGACCTTTAATCTGGCCCTCGACTGATTTTCTACTAAAATATTTTTATTATATTTTTTATTAAAATATTGTTAATTTTCTGCAGTGTTTATCATAGCAGTGTCCTCTGTACGTGGCCCCTCCCACCAGAGCAGCACAAATGAAGACTTGTCTCTTTCCAAACGCTCTTAAAGGACGATCGCTTTGACTGTTGACCGTGACACCCTCATCAGAAAAATGTCAAAAATGAGAAAAGTGGACGCAGAGTGCAGGATTTTCTAAGAAAATTTACTTATTCCTATTTATACAAGTTAATGTTAAACAAGTTCATGTTAAAACATTGTGTTGAAATTGTAGGCAAGGCAAGGCAAGTTTATTTGTATAGCACAATTCGTACACAAAGTAATTCAAAGTGCTTTACAGAATAAGAAATATAAAAACAAATCAAAACATAAATAATCATGAAGATTAAAATTAAAAAAGAGAGACATAAATTGGAGAGAAGAGTGCAGAATGAAAACCTTTCAGTTATATGCACAGTTAAACAGAAATGTTTTGAGTCTGGATTTAAATAGCATCACAGAAGAGTCTGTCTCACATGTTTAGGAAGACTGTTCCAGCTTTTAGCTGCATGAACCTGAAACGCTGACTCCTCTTATTATATATAATAAATATATAAATCTTATATAAATAATATAATAAAAAAATGTTACGGCCCCGGGACCAAAATGAGTTTGACACCCCTGGTCTACAACGTCCCGAAGCGCAAATGCGTATTTAACGATGTTTTTTACAAGAAAGTCCATGCTTTCCATTCCAGTTGGGACAAGTGTGAGGCCATATGCACAGTGTACAAAGCAGCACATATGTTTCTGTGTCCAGTGGGAGAAAGTTTTGACGAGTCCCCACCTCCCACCTCCCGTACGGTGTCCTGCTTTTGACAAACGCAAATCTGGTCACACTAACCTGTATTCCACTGAGTCGTGTCCTTTAATCTGACAGAAGTTGAACCGCATCAGCGCACAAGAGCTGTTATTTTTTCTTCAGTTAGTTTATGCAAATTAGCCATACGGTTTTAAGTTTTGTTTCTGTAAGACTTGCTCAAATCTGCATTAAACACATTATAATGTCAAACGGGCTGATGTGGCTCTAGAGTGGTTACAGTTTATATGTCGTAAAGTTTAATTTATTTTTATTTTATTTTATACTTACTTATTTTATTTTATATTTATTTATTTTATACAGATTAGTAGTGCAGATAATAATGATGATACATTTTAATATAAAAACTTTAATGATTAATAGATAATCGATCGTTAATTCTCCCGACAATCGATTAAGAAAATTTAATCAAATGCCCATCCCTACTAACCAGCTACTAGGTCAGAAATCGGAATACACTTGACAGTTTGCAAGAACCCTGGAAGTTGTAGACCGTGCACCGGCCAATCAGTGAAGAGATGTGAAGCCATACTGTCAACCTCAAGCGCCTGTCTGGGTCCCTTTTGTGGTACAGCACAACAGTAAACAAAACAGTAAAGATGGATGTAGACAAAGCCATACATTCTGTGTTGTCAGCGATTCCAGAAATTGAGGATTTTAAGCCGGAATAAAAAGAATGTTTGGTGAATTTTATCAAGGGGAAAGACGTTATTGTCTTTCTTCCTACGGGATTTGGTGCATTACATACGTCACGACCCAATAACAGCAATTGGTTAAATAAAAAAGCACCCACCTGCCGTCGAGTGAATGAATCCTAATGCTGCAGGGTCAGATGGTTTCCACAAAGTGAAACTGGAATGAATCAGGCTAATGCTTTGGTAGTTTCAAGGCGAATCAATAACATCTCCATGGAGACAAGAAAGACACGGCAGACCCTCCACCAGAAAAATTACACAGTGAACCTTTAATGTAATATGAGATCTTAAAATTTTGCATTATACTGATCCCTGTCAAAATGAGTAAATCTTGATCAAAAGAAAATGACCAAATCTTAAAATAGCCACTAAATGTTATTGCTAATCTATATCAAAACATGGACTCAGTATGAAAAGAAAAATGTGTGAAAAATTATGTCACAACGAAATAAACAAAGACGATTTCACATTTGAATTTGTGTGTAACATAATTACCTTAATTATACCTGTAATTATAAAAGCGTCAGTTGTGCGGGTGTAGAGCTGAACCAGAAGAGCAACATTTCTCTGGTACAATAGAAACACTGAGAGTTTGAAAGGGTCAAATGAATCTGTGGGTTTGGCTGCATTCCTCTCCGCTGTCTGCACCTGTGTCTACCTGCAGCTCTGTGTTTGGAACTGTATTTAATGTGCCCATGACACTTACAAATTTTTTTTATCAAAACACAGTTAAAGGGCCCATATTACGCTATTTTCTGATCTATCGTTCCTCATTAAAAATCTAAAACAGACCTGGAGTTTTGTTTTGTTTCATTCACACATGTTTAACGCACAAACCCTGCAGATTTAGACTGAGTTCTTCTATCAGACAGAAAACCAGACAACACTTTGTTCCACCTTGTGATGTCAAGTGGTGATACAGGAAGTGCTCCAGTGTGTGTTTAAACTCCATGTACCTTCACTTATCATTTGGATTAGTTCAGCCCTGGAATTGGCAATTTCTACTGGTAGTTGTTAAATTGAAAAGTGGTGGTGGAATAGAGCATTTTGAGCTTTGGACATGTAGACAGACTAATAATACTGGATTACTCAAACATGTGTGAATGAAACAAAACGGGTAAGTTTCTGATGACATAACAACATTATGAAATGACTTAAAACTCACAAGAATATGGCAATGGTTGGCAAAGACGATTATCCAGACCAGGATGAAAAAATGCATAGCACACTCGGTTGGCCGATGTCCAAAAGCTTTTTTATTAACAAAATAACGTTTCGGCAAAAAAAAGCCTTCATCAGATATTTTTCTTGTCTTGGACCACAACAAAGACGATTATCCAATCAGAAAGCAGAAAGAGCCTCATACAAGTCCCTTTGGGTTGCCAGTTCATTTGGGTTGCCAGTTCCAAAGCTGAAATCCTGCTGTTTTGTTCCAGGTGGAAGCTGCAGAAGAGGCCCTCGCCTTCACTGCAGCCTGAAGCAGCCTCGCCCGTCCGAGGGGTGAGTAGGAAGTTTTATTATTGAATGTCTCTCCAACTCTCCATCCCCATTTCACATCTGAATCTGTTCAAAAAATGTAATAGATGAAATGCATGGAATTGCTTTCAGAATGCAGATATTGAAATGGACGAAGTGCCCTATACAAGTCCTGGTTTGAGCCCAGTTTAGTCTTTGGTTCTGTTTTAATGCTCGCTAGTGCCTTATATGCTCTACTTTATTGTAACCTCTTCTTGGGTTTCTGCTGTTGTATGAAACAGTTTGATAACTTTTTTCCATTCAGAAGATATCAGATTTTGTTTACAAATGTAATCACTATGGCAGTAGTCTTAATTTTTATCCTTCTGAAACCTTGATAGATAGTAGTACAGTATTAGTACAGTATTCTGCTGAAGCCAGTCCCTCGTGGTGGTCGGTGAACCTGCACTTGGCTCCAGTCTGTTTTTCCCGTTGATGCTAATATTAGCGTTTCACCGTATCCCCCGACAACCGTCACTTCCTGTTTGTCCAACGGGAACTGCCTCAACAATGGCCCTGCTCCCCGTCTGTGGTCCAACTATAGTCCACTCAGAGACAGGTCCAAGGAAACCCTCCAGAGCTCAGGAGGAGACTGTGTTAGACCCGGGTTAGTCCTGGTTTAGTCCGGATTTAGACCAAGTTTAGTCCGAGCCCTGGTCTGGTTTAGACCTTGTTCAAGCCCAGTTCAGATCTGGTTCAGTCCTGGATGGTGTTGGTGGTCTCTAGGATGTAAAAATGGGCTGTTGTCTCTTTGTCTACTACCGGCGGGTGAGTCCTCTTTCATTATATTTTCTCAAATTCATGCATCTAATTAATAAAACTACATTTACGGGCTTGTCAAAGCTTCTCAAAGACTACACTGTGGTCGTTGTTCACTCACTCCACACTCAGTGGTGGTAAGATACTACTGTAGCCACAGCTGCCCTGGGGCAGACGGAATGAAGCAATGCTTATGACCCCTTGTTCTCTGTATCTCGCATCTGCAATAATTAAGAGCAAATTTGATCTTGATTCCCAGCATCCTTTCATTTAAAAGTGGAAACTGGGAAATCCAAATCTACGTATGAACTAAATTTGACTAAAACCAGGACCAGGTGAATGCACCTTAAACTTACACAAAAACCAAGACTGAAAATGGGCTGAGCAAACTTAAAATCCCACCTTGTAACTTTTTTAAAACCAAAAAATATATTAAAATAAACGCCTCCTTACTCTGAGCCTGACTGAGCTCACATCTCCACAAATCTGACTCTTATTTGGCCTGAAGGAGAGCCTCCTCCTGCTTGTTTCCATGGATATGTTGTTCCAGTGCCTATAACAGACACACTACACTAGGACTAGGACTAACCCAGAACCAAACTAAGACTAAACTGGGTCTAAACCAGGATCTGTCTCCATAGTAACAGTGTTGTATTGTATTTGTCCCTTATGTAATGTCCGCTCAGTCTCGATCAGTTTCCGTTCTTTGTCTCTTTGAGTTTTGTTTAAGAGTCTGTCCATCACAGAGTCACATGTTTATCTCCTCACCGGCTCCACTGCAGGAGAAACACTAAACAAACAGAAAACTCTCAGAAATCATCTTCAGAACTGTTATGTCCAAGGCAGGGCTGTCAGAATCAAAACACAAATACTAATTAAAACTAGATACTCATCTGAACAGATGTCCTTTCTACAAGTATAACATTCTCTTTCAGTCAGGGCTGTGTTCAATACAAAGAGAGTAAATTATAATAACAAACACTAAATTGTGTTCTGTTTCTAAGAAAATAATGATATGAATGTTTTGAAAGATCTTGATCGACAGAAATGGTACAAGATCTTATAGTATTATTACATTTTGAGTTGACAATTATATTCTATTTATTATCCTTCTATTATTGTTATTAGAGTATTTTGCCGTTTCTGGTCATTATTCAAATTTGTATTCTTTTTTTTTTTTTTTTTAAACCAAATCTAACTTCAGTTTAATTCAGTTTAAATAGTTTTAGCAGCTGCCCGATTAAACTCACTGACCTGAGCACGTGTAACTTCCTGTTGTTGTCAGGCTAAAAACAGGAAGTACTTATTTGTCCATTGTTTTGTATCTGGAAAAAATACAACACACACACTCGCACATATATGCAAACACACACACACACACACACACGCACACGCACACACGCACACACACACACACACCACTGAAAAAACACTTCATCACAGACATGAGCTGAAGACTGGATCCAAACTTTGATGGAATTCAGACTCTCCTTAATTATTTCAACTTTTCAAAATCTTATTGTTTATTTATTTAGAATTAAGTCATTTTTAGTCCTCAGTATCATTTTTTCTGGGAGTGACAGTGACAAAAAGAGGCAAAAAGAAAATTTCCCAAAGTTTGAAATAAAATCAACCAATTAACATCAACGGATAAATAAGAATTGATTCATTTTATTGATTTATGCTGTAAAATAAGTTGATTTCATGATTATATGAATTGGTTTAAAACTATTTGGCTTTCATTGCTGGCAATAAATAAAAAAATAAATCAGCTGTAAGTAACTGTACAGTATGTGGTGATTGTGTACTAATGCTTATTTGTGTGTTGCTGTTACAGAAGAAGAGGAAGCAGGAGAGCAGAGATGTGGACAACCTGAGTCTGTGCAGCCTCGATCTCAACGTGAGTCGAGAAAACTTCAAACTACATTTAAAGGGACAGTCCGGAATTTTGGACATAGGGCCTCGTTTCCTCTTGAGCCAGAGAGTTGGAGACGTGTGGAGACACTTTTTTAAATATTCCATCCAGTCCTTGTATTTGCAGAGGTCGCTGGTGCTAGGCTAGTGCATGTCAATGGTCATAGTTATCTTGCCACTAAAAACTGTCTTACCCACTCCACAAAACCCCCGAAACAAAACATGCCAACCTGTCGATGTGAATGTCTGTGTCGAAAGAATAATGTTTGAAGTAAAACCAACCTTGCACTTGAAGGATTTATGTGTGAGCAGCAGCAGTGAGTTGTACTTCCTGATAGAAAGCTTGGCAGCAGCGGACTGATATCACCTAGCACCTATTTTACCGGCAATGTAAAATTCCGCTGTTTCTGAGAAAATAGTCCCTCAACATGCGACGATTCATGTGATCCAAGGTTAGTTTTATTTCAAACATTATTCTATCAACACAGATATTTACATGGACAGTCTGGAGTAATAATAGATTTTCTTTGGGTGTTTTGTGGAGTGGGTAAGACTGTTTTTAGTGGCAGGATAACTATGGCCATTGACGTCTCCAACGCTCTGGCTCACTAGGAAATGAGACCCTATGTCCAAAATTACACACTGTCCCTTTAACAAAACAATACACACAGCAGTACACAACATATCAAAGGGTTATTCATCTAGACAACATTTTTAAAGAAAGAACACCCATTATGACACGAAACATGAGCTCCTCGGTGCTTTCAGAACCATGGGCCCCACTTGGATGAATGAGGGATTACATCAACACACACACACACACAGAGAAAGAGAGCAGTGTCCCCT